TATACAGGTTTTACTGTAAATAATATGATTTCATCAAACATGATTTTAAGATAATGTGCAGTGTTGCATTACAAAACTTAAATCCTTAAGCAAACATGCATTTTTAATATCAGCACATGCTATAGGCAAAATGTGTACTCAATTTTAAAAATGTCATAATGTTAAAAACATTAAGCATAACATTGATCAATTAAATTACAGTAGTATATTACCTTATTCAAAAATTAATGGATGAACTAGATGTATTCTTCTAGGACGAGTCATATAATAATTAGTTCCATACAGCGAAGATCGATGGAGTCTGGAGGTATTACGTCATGAGTACAGTACTATTGAAATGATTTCTACCAATCTACAAGTTTCACTAAGGTAAATATTTCCATTTGTATGTGTAGGTATAGGAGTGAAACCTTTCAGAGGAATTTATTTAGGGTAAACAAAACTCAGTTGTGTATATCAGGTAGAATTAGCCTATACTTTAAGTATATTGAAGAAATATCGTGATAGAGTTTAAAGAGTCATGTAAAAATCATTGTATACTTGAGTTTAAAGTTTTTACATGTTAAATAGTGTATGACAGTTTTGACACACCTTAGTGTAAGCAGAATGATATATATGGTATGGATAGATAATGACTAATGACTTGGAATTTAGATAAGGAAAAATAAATTGCTTTAAAGACGATGATGTCTTTTAGAATTAGACATATAGCAAGTTGGATGTTTATTTAAATATAAAGAAAATATATTTGAATATATTCGAGTCTTAGAAATTGGATGAGAAAGTAAATCGGATTGCTATAAAAATGTCTGCTGTTACGACTAGGCATGTGTCAGTTGTACCAATTGGTAGGTTCATATGCTTTTTAGATTAATTTTGATAGATACAATAAATAGATTTTAATGATTTATGTATGTGTGTACATGTATGTGCGTTTGCATCGGTTTACTGTATTCATTATATATTTATGTTCGATCTCGCAAGTATTTTAGTTTTTGCAACCCCTGAAGCAGCCTGTTCTATAAATGTTTGAGAGAATGTGAGGGGGGGTCAATACAAATGCCTTTGCCTTGACCATTTTTACTTCAAATGTAAACTAATTGAGTGTTTTTTATAGCATGTTAATATTTCTCATGACATTTTTGTTTGCTTTTTCTGTTAAGTACTTATACTATAAGTTTCATTCATCAAATTGATTGGCATGGTACATATACATGTATTACTATTTAAGCATTGTTAAGTATCCCCTACTGTAAAACATGGTTTTTATAGAACATATTTTTACTTATTTTACTAAAATCATAAATCAACTAATTTCTTCCATAATTGAATTGAATGAGAGAACAGCATAGAATTTACATCAAATACTTTTTCATTAATAATCAAAATAGTGAAAAATTAATTTTTTGTTTTATAGTAATTTCAACAGGTACTGTTCTAACAGGTTAATTCGAATAACAAATACATGTGCATTTTTCGAAAAAGATTTTTAAGTGCATCATTGATGTGAAACGAGCCATGTTAATGATAATTATACATGTACATGTGCATATAGTAATAACATTACCTATTGTTACCTATTGACCCAGAAAACATATTTCACATATTTGGTTTAAAGCCTAAAATAATCTTCTTATTGGAGCAGCAATTCACCTATAACTATTCAGTATTTCTATACCACCTATATTTATATGGCAGGTAAATAGGTTCAGGTAGATTGTATGCATATGGCATGTACTATATTTAAAGTATTTAAGTAAGTTCACTTAACGGGACCTTATACTTCAACATATGAGTGTTGGAAAGGGAGTTCCCTTTGGTGCTGCCCCACCTGGAAAGTAAAGTTATACACCAATGGAAAGTATAGCATAGTTAATGGATGTATGGATATAAAAGTAAAAGTTAAACAAATGTTTCAAGATTTCTTTTTTGGATCTAACTGGATATACCAAAATATATAGAGCAGAATTTAGACTACAGTACATGCTGTAAATGTGGATATAGTACATCTCACACCAAACAGGAGTACATAACAGATTTGGCTGTTAGTTATCTTTCATCATACAATACTACATAATACTATAGTGTTGTTGTTACTGCATTCCTGCTATGTATAACTGCAGCTGAAACCTTCAAGAAAACTTGATCTATGTATAACATAATACTATCACTGCAACATAGTTCTTAAAAAATCAAAGAAAAGAGCATTAAAGGTACCATACTACACCCATTAGTTCCAAATTTTGTTGCAACTGGCTGGATTACTAAAGCCCTTAAGGTTAAACATTGGAGCCTAAAACATTGACATTGATCTTGGAGAATCGTTTTACATTAGTACTCACTACATATATAAAGAATATAGCAAACGTCGTAAAGATTACATACAAAGGAGCTGCAAAATATATCTAGAATAGTCTTCCTAAGAAACATACAGGAATATAGCAACTGTTTATTGAGGATTATATAAAAATAACATCAACATGTCTGTCTATAGTACATATGGTTTCAAACTGAAGCCTGTTAACATGGTCCTTGTTGAGAAGGACGCAGATGGTAAAGAAAAGGAAGTGAACCCAGACCCTCCGAAGACAGATCCCGAGCCCCCAAAGAATCATATAGGATTTGAAGGTGTTGCTGAAGAAGCTGCAAGAGATGCAAATGCAAATGAAACACCTGAGACACCTAAAAAGGATGATGAATCCTTTGTGCCATTTGATGAATATGGTGATCCACGGAGTCCAAGTGCTCAACTCACGAGAACTCCATACGCTGGTTCATTTAGCTATACACGAGGAGGGAGTGTACCAACTAGCCCACGAAACTCAGCAATTAGAAATTCAGCTCATATAGGTATAACATTATGAAGGTTCTTATTCGGTTTTGCAGTCATTTGATTGAATATTAGCAAAGGGCATTCCCTAGTTAGTGAGTCTAGTTACAAACGATGAAGCTCTCTTTTAAGAAGCAAAATCGAACAAATGCAAAGGGTACAAAGGGTGTGGTATGTTTTAAGAGATAACTATATTTGAGAAAATATTTTCTATTCTACACTTTTATGTTATGAACCTTGTTTTTCAATAACAAAGATGAGCTTAGGTTAACTCCATGTCTAGATGAAAAGATATTAACTGGGACATGTTCACTTCCTGACTTTAAAATATCTCCCTGACCCTGCCTTGTTTCCCTCTTCGTAAATGACTCGCTTATTTCTGATATTTCTGTACATATTTACCTGAATGCTTAACTTCATACCAATTTTACCTCATATTTTAGTATACGTACCTGGAATTTCAACTTACTTCTAATCTGGTACATATTACTTTACCCATGCATTTTATAAATGGGTTAATGTTTTTATGTGTTTTTTTATCTGTTTTGGTTCAAGTATAGTGAATTTGTCCTTGATTTCATAGTTTACACACTTTGTTAATAACTATTTAATAGTCTTAAAGAATCTTAAAAATATATTAAGAACATGTTTAGATAATAATATGCATTCATTTTTAGGATAGCTGGTTCAGTCACTTGGGTTATATAGGGGCAGTCTTAATCATACTTTTTGATGTAAAATTAATATTGTCTTTGTATTTACTTATATAGTAAAGCTATGCTATATGCTTTGTAAAGTTACAAGTCACTATTTCTGTTTTAGGAATAAGTACATATTTTGTTTTCATAACAATTTAAGTTGATTTCATAGTCTATTGATTAAGATAATTAAGAGTGCAACCAAGCTTCAGTCCAAATATTTTTTATATTTCCCCAATAAGATAAATAACTGGGCATTTTGCTCAGTTATATATATTAAGATGAATCAGCGGGTCACTGTATTCAGGACAGTTTCCTGGGGTTATTTAGGTTAGTAAGTCAGTTAATCACATGGTTGAAATAACTTGGCTGCTGGTACCTACATACATACTTGTACATGTACAGCCTGGGTTCAAATCCTATTGGGGTTTCTGGGTTTTTGTTAATTTGCTATTCTAATACTCATCACATCTCTGTTTCGCAGTAGCAATAATATAACAACTAGAATTAACTATGATGTCAGTTTCCTAGCTTGCTTTTCCATTAGTACCAGTATATGGAACTCAATTAGATTATTCACTAGTTGGAAATACTGGTTGACAATTATTTCAAGTTTTATGCAGAAAGGATCACGAACAGTTCAAAAGTAGACAGAAAAAATGTTCAAATTTAAGTTATGTTTCAGAAACAGGTTTCTGAATAAAAAAGGTTAATAAACAAAATGGAAATATTCACCTCAAAGAATTGCTGTCAATGAGCTTTGGCATTTTGAACTGTACAATACAAAGTAAAAATGAGTCTGAAATATGGACAAGCACTTAACATCATTTCATTTGCATTTACTAAGGTATTTGAACTGATTTTGAATGACAATTATCAGTTTTTATGAATGAACATTTTTATTATGTATTTTGAAAAGGTTGGCATAGCAGTGGAATAAAAAGATATTCTAAACCAAAAGGCTTTCATAAATGATAAAAAGTCTTCACCCAATTCAATTTATAGTAAAACCTTTTTAAGTGGAACACCTTTGGTACCTCTAAAAGGTGTTCCACTGTACTTCGAAGGTGTGCAGAGGTTCATTTTAATTCAGTTGGTATTGGAACTCTAAAAAGTATTCCTCTGAGAGGGGTTCCAGTTCTAGAGGTATTCCTCTTTACAGGTTTCACTGTATATGGAATATAAGAGAATGCATCATCAATATTATGTTATAAGCATAAATCCTAAAGACTGTTATATTCAGTAGCACTTTGTTGTCTGCTTTTGTTATAATTTGCTCATCAGGGTACATGTACTTTCTATGGAGCTGTTTCTCCCTTATTGAAAATGTTAGAGTTGCGTTTTCTAAATCACAATATCCATTTTAGATCAAAAGGATTGATTCCATCATAATTTAGAATTTTTTCTCAAATAAGAGGGTCATATTTTTGTGTTCCTCTGTATATGAAGTAAAAATGTTATTTATATTACAGGATTTGAGGGGATGGATGCACCACCACCTTCAGATGAGAAACTCTACCCAAATATTGGTGACAGCCCTACACCAGTGGAAGAAGCAAACGTTAACCCATCCATGCCTCCAGTTGGTTACATGCCCATAGGTAGGTTCATGATTCCAGAAGAAAACAGTCATGGGTTCTCTCAAAACTTTGAACAACCTACCTGACATTATGGTATTTCTATATTGATTAGAATGTAAAAAAACATTCCTATTACCTTGAATTCCTATTTAAGCGGCTTCTTTCTCACTATGTTGATCACTGGGCTACCTAACTTATGGCTCTTGCCAGGCATAAAGAACATGGCACCACAATTTTAAATTTTCCTGCAATAGACACTCTCTACTTCATGTTTTCAAAACCAAAATTGAGTGGAAAAGACAAATGACTAATGCAAGGAACAGGCATTTGACTAACAATGGTATATTATGAACTCAATGGCCATTTGCACTGGATGGTCCTGTTATGTTGACATGGACTTTCCTACTCTTAAGAGGGTGTAGATTTATCTTGCATCAAGCCTCACTCTCATTAACAACTCCACTACTTAAATAGAAGGAATGCATGGTAGTAGTGAGGAGTGAGATGCGTAAGAGTTTGATAAAAGACTAGAACTGCACTTCAGTATTTCAATTCTCAAATTCTGAAATTAAAAGGCTCTATGAATCTGTAACTTTTAAAACATCTGACCTGAGCAACACTCAACAAAAAATTTATAAGGCAATTTTCTTAAGTATGTATAATTGTATGACAGCAGTTGCACCCTTTATATGTTTATTTTCCATTGAGTTTACTTTGTTTTATCTTTAAGTTTGCTTAAATTTTGTTGACAATTACTTTGTTCATTACATATTGTAATCACATAGATTTTCCCCACCTTTTGTGCCTAGTGGGAGGATAGGAAATCAACCCCTCTTGCTCATAATTCTTGATATATGTACTTCTGCCACTTTGAGAACTGTATGAGCAAAACATGATTGAAGTTTGATGAGAAATAGCACTTCTTATAAATTTTGTTTCACATGGGATATCTATGGTAGTACCCAATCTTAAAGGCCCTCTTTGCGTATTTTAAATTGAGCATAGTGGGGCTTTAATCAAAATGAATGAAAATTGTGGCTGTCATATTATTGCTGTCTTTGTTTAAAAATCAGAGGCAAGTAAGATGAAGCCAGTACATTTGACCCTGGTTCAAAGATTTTTGAAATTGAAAAAACAGACTCAAAAGCAATAAATATTAAATTATAGACTTTTGAGAAGATCTGATGGTGCTTTATACTGCGGGAGTGAATGTAGAAATAGAATGATAACCATGTGATTGGCACATTATATGTGATCATTTACTAGCATTAGGTTCCATAAATATTTAATGTTCATTATTACTGTTTGCTGGAGTATCCTTTAGAATTAAGGGTTTTAGATAAAGGAAATATCTTCAGGGAAATACATAATACCTATAAGATATTTGAATGGATTCTTGACACTGACTGGAAATGATAAATTACCATATATGTTGGCCACTACCCCTAATATTAATCCCTTGGTAGACATTAGGGGCAAGCTTTTACAGCCCCATTATAGTATTGATTCCTTACCACTGTCTGTTCTTATAATCATTAAACAATTACATATGAAATCTCCATTTTTCTCAGTTGCTGTCATATAACACCTCAAGTTTCCCGCAAAATTCAACATAGTTTTTTTTTTATTAGTTTAGGTAGGTTGATGTTACAAGGCCATTTTGAATTATTAAAATCAGTCAATAAAATTGATCATTTGTAGAATCCATTCAAAACTTTGAGACAAGTATTTAATTATCTGACTATGCACTTGTCTATAGAAAAGGGTGTGGATAACCATGGATATACCCCAGATACAGATGGGCAGCGTAGTGGGGCAGGTATGTCTGAGATCATCCTCTCCCCTGGCTTCCCAATCTGGGATCAGACATCCTTCTTCATTGCATCAATCACATGCTTACACTTTGATACACCATTGGAAAGGTTCAGATCAATTCAACATGATTTGATTTTATAGTATATAGGAGATGTAATCAATTGACATTTCCTGTTTCTATTGGCATGATATCACACTTGCTAAAGACCATCTTAGCATAGAAAGTTGCTTATATACTCCTATTCACAAAATAGTTCAGGTAGAAAATACATATTACTGCATCATTCAAACACTGGCTTTTTAAACTTAAGACATTGTATATAGAACTATGGACATTAGTACCCCACCCCTCCCTCTCTCCTTTGCCTCCTGTCCTAGAAGTTGGTAATATGCTTGATACATATATGTAATACTACTGGGATTTGGGACATTTTGCTGCATAGAATGAATGTTAAACGGCTTTGATATTCATGTACATGTATATGTGTAGGCTTCGTTCTGAAGTTACCAGTTTGGATTTTGACAGACTTGAAACATACAATCATATAGATAAAGAAGTGTTTTTTTTAAGTTTCAGCATTTTCTATGCTTTATTCTATGTTTTCATAAAGACCATCACTTCTTCCCCATAGCACCAATTTTCAAATTAATAAAAACTAAATCTTTAATTAACAATCATACATGAAGAGGTACATATATGCGTAGGAGTACACCCCTGAATAGAATATATAGAAAATGTTTCTTACATTATTGGGGTATGAACCGTTCAACTTATCTTGATTTATGGAGCTCTTCACCAATGAGGATTCCCATCTATACAACCGCCAAAACAAATACACATTACACATATTTTTTTTAAAAATAGATTTGATCATGAATTTCATATTTTTGATTTGTCATGATTTCTTTGATCATTATAGATAATACTAGATCAGTTGACAAGTCAGTTTGACTGTAAAAGCGTAATCTAATAGAGGGTTTGCCAAATAGCTTCAAATACAATACTTGTGGAAGTATCAACATTTTCTTCTATTTAATCACATATTTAAATTCTGTCTCTAATTTCCTGGTGAAACAACTTTGATTGGCAAAGTTATTTACCTTTATTCAAATTTCTAGGATTTTCAAGTTTTCTGATAGGGGGCAAGCTAAATACCTATTGACACAATGTTGAAAAAACTTTAAATGTTCATTTTCTCTTTTAAGGTTCAGAATTTTAATGTTGAATCACTATTCACATGTCAACAAGATCATGCCAATGGAGTTCTACATAAATCAAAATGGAATGACTTGAAAGAAATAGAAAGGGACTTTCATTCAGGATTCTCTATACATGTATTATCAATGGTATTCTGGCCCTACCGACACATGTGCTGCCATCTATATATCTATATGGCAAATGGCCCACTGCTTTATAGTCCAATACACACTCCCACAAAACTAAATTGCATAAGTAAGATACTCAACCCATTCAGCAACCATTTCATTTTCAATATCTGTGTTATAAAATTGCATCTAGGAAACTGTTGGATGCTAATTCACCTGGAAAGCCCATCATTATTTAGTGTTTCTGTCAAATGACTATGACATCCACAATATAGGTGACACAAACACTTTATTTTTATTATCTGGATAATTAGATATGGTTGGACCATGGGCATAAATCCATTGCTTAGCCGAGAATCCATGGAAAGAGACCTCTGATGATGTATCCAGTGTTGATGAACACTTTGTGATTTGTATCTGCTCATGGTACACTTAATACTCTGCTCCATTTTAGGTATTTCCCCAGGCCCTAGTCCAGTACCAGCAGACCAAGGTGCAGCCTTACTAGGCTATCAAGGTGCTTCAATGTGCTTCAATGTCCTTCTTGGTGATTTGTGTTGTGGGATTGGTTTTCATTGTTTTTAATGTTTATGTTGTGTTTTTTTCTTCAAATTATGTTATGTGGTGACTGGATATTGGATGAAGTAAAAATGATTTGAAGAATTATTGAATCATCATTACAATTTGCTATGGTTTAATAAGAGACAAAATTCTTATCTTGAAATGGGTTTTGGTTGATATTGCAGTTACTTTAACAAGATTGGCTTTAACATGTATATGTGCATTTTTGTTAGGTTCGTAACATACATTAGATACAGTATATGAATGTGTACTTCATTGCACATTGTTGCTTTCTATTTATTTATTTTATTTATTTTTTGTTGCATTTACTTCTACTTTGTATTTTACATTAGTAGATGTGTGGATGTTTTATTTAGTATTTCATTGAAGTGTTATATTATATTCTTTTGGTTTCTTTATTTTGTTGGTGTTTACTTTTTTTTTATAAGATACTCATTTTGTTTAAGTTGTTTTTCTTGAGCAAGTGTTAATAAACACCCAGTTTAAGGCACAGCTTCAAAAATTCTCCTTTCCTTAGGGTTGGAATGGTATAAGGAAATTCATATTCAGAAACAACAAAATTGAATTCAGATCTATACTTGTAAATATATTATATTGCATTTTTATTTGCCGAATGTGATTTGCCCAGTGACCATCTTGTCAAAGAATGTTTGAACATTTTCCATGTCAAAGAATGTTTGTACATTTTCCATGTCAAATAATGTTAGAACATTTTCCATTGTTAGTGAATTAGGTAACATTTACTCAAACAGACAAATAACATTAATATATATTCCTTCAGAATGTGAAAATATATACAGTATTGTAGTGACCATCATGTCAAAGAATGTTTGAACATTTTCCATTGTTAGGGGAGGCATCAAAAGATCAATGTCTGATAGAAAACTAAATAAATCTAGTTTGGGGGAGGGGGTCAAAGCTATTTCAGTTTGCTATCCGACAAATTTCAACATTTAAATTTTTCGCAATTTAGACTCGAAATGCCTTGGAATGGTTTAAAAATAAAGACTTTACCAGATGCCTTCCTCACCAAGATGCATGCAACATGGAATATTATGCCTATTGTTGTTGGCACATGTTTTAAGAATCATAAATAAGTTATAGTACTGGCCCCATGAAAGTCTAAATTGAGTCGCTAAAACATGTGAAAAGTCCGCGATCAACTTTCATTGTATTTAGTTTTGAGGGGGAGGGGGGGGGTCCAACTCAAAACTAGATTTATTTAGTTTCTTATCAGACATTGAACTTTTGATGCCTCCCCTTAGTGAATTAGGTAACATTTACTCAAACAGACAAATAACATTAATATACATTCTTTCTGAAATTGAAAATATATACAGTATTAAATGTGAAGATTTGAATGAGAACAAACAAATCAGTAATTCGGTTGAATTTATACTTTTATTATTTTCAGATAAGGGTGGTCTCGAAGAGGTTTCAGTAGAGAATGGAGACAATAAGAAAATAGTAAGTCTGACAGATTGTTTGTTTTCTATTCTTACAATGTTTTTTAAGATGTGATTATTAAATGCTTATGAAATGAATAGATGAGTTTTTTCAGCCTCACTGCATTTACTGTAAAGTATTTTGAGTTCTTGCACATTCTACATATTCTTCATTATCATTATATGGTCATTTCCAGTTTATTCTGATGTTCGCATATTTTCTTGCAAGTAGAAAAACAGATGGAAAGGAAAGTCAGGAATATCCTAGATTAGAATGTTGTACACTTTGTATTTTTATCAAATTTTGAGCAACATTTTCCCAGTGCATAATCAGATTTAACAAAAACTATCGGCAATAATGTCATTATGTAATGTTGCTTTGAAATAATTGAAATATTTTGAAATTGAAGATCGGCTTGATCTTATATATACATGAAGTTATTTGTCTGAAATACAAATCCGCCATGTTAAACTGTGAAAATGATTTTAATTTTTGAATACTAATTGTTCAGGTTTAAAAAAGAGTAAGAGAACGTGAAAAACATGTGTCTTATATTTAATTCACTTATTCAATTTTCATATGTTTTTAACCTTTACCATGCTGCCTTATTTCAGCAAATATATCCCACGCAACTGGCTTATTTTTCAAAGAGTGCAAAAAATGATATGCCTGGACTAAATAATTAATATCTCAATAACTACTGAATGAATCTGGATAAAATTTTCACAAAGGGAAGATACAGTGGCCTGGCTCATGAAAAAAATGTTCTCATGAATTTTTTCGTACATTAACACGACTGGGCATAAATATACCATGAATACTCCTCCGGAATCCGCCGCTCCGCCTCTTCGTCTGGTCAGAATCCAAATCTGAATTTGCAGCGATCGAATGTTCAATTTTTCAATTCAGAAAATATTCTAGTTTCTATTTTCGATGACCGTTATCGGCTTCCAAGAGCCTAAAGAGCTCGAAATCGTAATCTATTTCCTCCACATTTTCGTTGTGATCGTATTTGTCCACCATTTTGTATGATTCGTTCACTAAAAACGACTAAAACACTGTTTAAATTGTTGAATTGAGAATTATTTTTCGAAATATCGCCATTTCTAGGTCAACAGGAAGTCATGTTAGGCACTGAATAAATCGGGCAATCTAATTGGACAATACGAATGGCGCGAAAAAGTAAAGTTTTTAAAAGTTTGAAATCGGGCGTACGGGTCCGCCGGCAGTTGTGAGAGACATTTTAGTCTCGGCGGACGAGTCCGCCGGCAGCACGCTAAAGGTTAAAGTCATTAACTTAAATATTTGAATTTGGTAATCTGCATTAACTCCAAATGATGGTGAAATGGTATAATTGATGGTAAAATCAGATCTTTGTGACAAGCCATACCGTTAAACCCATCAGTGAAATGAACAATATCAAAATGACAGTTTATGTAGCACATGCATTTGTTTCACAATACAATTATGTTACGCTCACATCACAAATCATTTTACCATATCTGATTTCATATGTTTACTTTCATTGTATTTGCACATTACAGGGATTTGACACTGATTCACATCTATCAATCCATACTGTCTCTGAATATTCTGAAAATCCATCATACTTCAGAACATATGGAAAGGTACAGTAGTGATGAAAACTCACTTAGGCTCATCAGTGTGTTGTATGCTCTATCTTTATACATATTAGGTTTTCTTTAAGTTAACTGAAAGCTACTTAGATCTTGTATATGAAAGCATTATCAATTTATTATGGATTTCCAAGTTATAAAATGGAGTTTTCATTCGAGGAAAATTTGTTCAATTCAGTTATTCTTCCATGTTCCAATAACAAGTTATTGTAAAAAATATCAATTGAATCAAAATAAATTCTAAATTAGCATCCTGGTTGGTCAATAACTAATATAATACTGCAATACAGGATATGTTGTGCTCGAGAAATTCTGTATTGGCACGGGACAAAGTCTATCAAGAAGAACATTGAGAGCACAATATATCCTGGATTGCACTTCAAATCATTCAGTAATGTTTTTATTGTGTGATCTTAGGCCAACACATTTTACTTAGGAGATAATCCCGAGGAAATATTCTGACTTATTCTTAAACCATTAATTCAATGTAGACACTTTTATTTCATGAATGAAATACAATCTACATGTATTTAAACCTTGTATTGGTACGAGATTGATCATCTTCGTAGCAATACAGAAAATAGAATAAAATATTTGTTTTATTATTCACTGCTATATTCACCACTCTTTTGTTGGGAATGTCTCATACTAAGGACAAGAATGAATAGAACTCGTCAATATATGTTCTTTTAAACAATAGGTATGTGTTTAACACAATATTATGTGAATATGTCATTTAATTTTTTGTCACATGTATGATATAGACCAATAAGAGAGTTGGGAATATGACAGTGATATAATAAAAACAATATCAGATGGGACAATTGGGCCTTTTAGTGTGTTAGATTGTTCCATATTTGTTGTTCTTATGATGAGGGTTTGAGGTTGAATGTGGATGTGTATATTAACAACTTCTTTTGATGTGCAGTTGTTTTTTTTGTATGTTTTATTATTAACAGGATTACCATTATTTGTACATGTACTCAACATTATATGTATATATCTCTATATATGTTTTCATCTCTATATATTTTTTGTAGCATTTACTGTTTTGCACAGCATTTGCTAGAATTATAAAAAAGCACAGCATTTTTGAAGAGCACAGTATTGTTTTGGAGGCACAGTATTTCCAGGGAAGCAGGCTATTTTCAGCAATACACAGCATTTTCAGAGAGCACAGTATTGTCTTGGAAGCACAGTATTTTTAGGGATACACAGTACTTCAGGGCAGTACCAAATTTTCAGCAATGCACAGCATTTTCAGGGATGCACACTATTATTGATCATTTCAGTGTGCACATACAACACTTCACTATATTCCAGAGCTATAATATACAACTATAATATACAACTACCACATATCAGACAAATTCAGACTTTAATTGATTGATTCATAGACCAGGAAGAATTCAAACATTGATAGATTAATAGACAGACAGAGATATCTCCACCTAGATTGAATGAGGCACAAAGACAAATTTAAAAACAATCATGTTGATTTAGAGATTTGGACAAACACTAGACCTTGATTGAATCATAGACCAAAGTTAGACCTAGATTGATTTAGAAACCTAGAAAAATTCAGACCTAAGTATGTCAGACCAAAAGTAGATCTAGGTTGATTTAGAAACCTAGACAAATTCAGACCTAAGTATGTCAGACCAAAGTTAGACCTAGGTTGATTTAGAAACCTAGACAAATTCAGACCTAAGTATGTCAGACCAAAGTTAGACCTAGGTTGATTTAGAAACCTAGACAAATTCAGACCTAAGTATGTCAGACCAAAGTTAGACCTAGGTTGATTTAGAAACCTAGACAAATTCAGACCTAAGTATGTCAGACCAAAGTTAGACCTAGGTTGATTTAGAAACCTAGACAAATTCAGACCTAAGTATGTCAGACCAAAGTTAGACCTAGGTTGATTTAGAAACCTAGACAAATTCAGACCTAAGTATGTCAGACCAAAGTTAGACCTAGGTTGATTTAGAAACCTAGACAAATTCAGACCTAAGTATGTCAGACCAAAGTTAGACCTAGGTTGATTTAGAAACCTAGACAAATTCAGACCTAAGTATGTCAGACCAAAGTTAGACCTAGGTTGATTTAGAAACCTAGACAAATTCAGACCTAAGTATGTCAGACCAAAGTTAGACCTAGGTTGATTTAGAAACCTAGACAAATTCAGACCTAAGTATGTCAGACCAAAGTTAGACCTAGGTTGATTTAGAAACCTAGACAAATTCAGACCTAAGTATGTCAGACCAAAGTTAGACCTAGGTTGATTTAGAAACCTAGACAAATTCAGACCTAAGTATGTCAGACCAAAGTTAGACCTAGGTTGATTTAGAAACCTAGACAAATTCAGACCTAAGTATGTCAGACCAAAGTTAGACCTAGGTTGATTTAGAAACCTAGACAAATTCAGACCTAGATAAGCCTGACTTCATTCAGATACTTAGTCAATCCTAATCCAGATGAGACTTTATTTTAGCAAAGCACGGGTGATGTCAACTTGATCAATACACAGGGATGGTATAACAAGAAGGTTTGTGGACTATATACAGGACTATCATTACATCTCTTATAGATACTATATACACTTTATCTGTACCTCTATGGAAAATAACAATTCTTATTGCTTTGGGTTATATGTCATGCATGATATGGCCATGCTTAACTATCCAAAAATAAGAAACAATCAGGTGGAATCTTCAAGGAATGAATGAATGTACTTGTTGTTGATACATACACTCTAAATGGGAGATGTTTTTTTCAAATTTGGAGTGAAATAAGCATGGCAAGAATGACATATACTTTTCTAACAATGGTATATAACATCTTGTACTGTAATTCAGTACTCTACATTTAATTCATATAGACTTCCTTAAACCAAGCTTTTTCTAATGACCATCATCTAAAGACTTGTTAACACCAGATCTAAATACTATAATAATAATAATAATGGTACCAATGGTACCATAGCTAATAGTGCCATTATTAATGGTACTCTAAATATGGATCAACTAATGATACCTTACTTATGTAGTATTCAACTAACAAATGGGAATTCAGTCAAGGGTACCCTTGTACTAACTTTATGAACTAGAATTCCTTGGTATAGAGGGTTTCATTTACTACTAGGGTGTCAGTGTAGTATAGTACAACCTGCGTAAAAAGTGGAACACCTTTGGTGCACCTTAAAAGTGTTCTACTTTTGACGTGTTCTACTTGACAGATTTTTATTCTAACTTTGAGAGTAAAGATCTTTTATTACAAAGTTAGGAACATTCACTTGCTGTTCGACCAAATGATCTTCACCTCTATGATAAAATAATACTATATTTTGGTTATCATAGGATACTTCCAAAGTTAATCACTGTTTTGCATGTTAATTTGTGTCAATTCATTGCTACTTGTCAGATGCATGAATTTTCTTTATGATATATACAAGCTCACCATTAATGCACTGAACTACTTGCATATAGAGGTTTTACTGTACTGCATATTAAAACACTATATGTGACACATGTATATATTTTTGTGATTATCTAATTCCCAAGTGGTAATTTCCTATAATCCTTGATAGAATTGGCTGCCATTAATGGCCCTCTTTCATAGGAAGCAATATTGAGTTTGATTTGATGTTTTTGCACAAAGGATTATGGGCTGTTTGAAAGTTGTGGTTTAAAAAACATTAATGATGACATAAAATGCATGCGTGACTGACCAGTGCACTGCTTGTGTTTATACTAGTGCATTGTGGGTAACCTACAATAACCCATCTGCTAAATATGTTGCATTATGGTACATAATATTTTCTTTGTTTCTTGTAGGATGAAAACTCTCAGCTGTATTTCCGAGATGGAAAGCGGAAAATTGATTACGTCATCGCATATAAAGAGGGCTCTGGAAACAGTGAAGATAAGAAAAGGGAAAGGAGAGAAACCTTTCAAGCTAACCTTCATGATGAGGGCTTGGAATTGGAAGTTGAGGATCGTAAGGTAATGTAAAAGGCATAATTACTGTGAAAATGCATTCTGAGATTAACAATAAAAAAAGATTTGTTGTGTTAAGTGGATTATATTTTATATTTACCCCGAAGTTTCTTTTGAGATTTTTGATTGTTGACTTATTGTGGATTGGTTGGATTATTGGATAGTAGTTAAGTTGCATGTTTGAATACAAAATTAGAGGCTATTTCAAATTAAATATATCCAAGCATCGGACCCTGATATAGAGTAAATATGAAATTTATGTCATTGGAGGCTCTGGATATTGGATTTATCCTGAGGGAGGTATTCATATTCCTCAAAATTTTTTGTCTAAAACCAACCATAACTGATTTATGAATTCAAATAATGTTTACATGAATACCAAAAAACTTATTTTTTTGAGATATCTTGATGTAGCCTTTAATGCTGTATCATTCAGTCTGACTCACAGCCACAAAAATTACTCAACATTTTAGTTTTCTATTGGTTTGGTTAAATAACTACCATATGGACCAACAATACTCATAGTGTAATGAGCATCAGATATATACAAAAGTCATTGAGTTACATAATTTCCCAACTAATATTCAATTTGGATTGAATTGTGTATTACCAAAAACACGGGTGTTAAGCCACGATGATACCATGAGCACATGCTTTGAGGATCCGCGTTGTTTGAACCTACCGCCGAGCTCACTTATACTTTAAGCCCCGTTACACAGTCATGATACTGCCGAGCATGCTCATTGCATCATCGGGTCTGCTTTACCCCCATGAAAAAAAATCAGTGACTCACACCTCTATTATCAAATTCTTTATTGTATATCTGCATGCCTTCAGGCTCCTTCCTGACATGTTCCTATGTAAGTCCAAAATGGTCTGCAAAAAGGTCTATGATTCACACAATTTTAAATTTCCCTTGTTTAAATTACAGATTTATGAATTTAATTAACACAATTTAAGTATGTATATTGTTTATCTATTTATATTCAAAACATTGGCTCTATTTTGAAGACCAATTTGGATGACATGAATAGAATGTTTTGATTTTAGGAATCACAGAATTAAGTAATATAAACGTACCCAAGAATGCCCCCTGAATGAATATTGTTTTATATGAATGCATATATATCATAATTGTCATGTTTAAATGGAAAATAGGATGTGATGTTAATATTTATTTGATGTATATTTCCCCTATATTGTGACATATATAATGCATGTTATCTGGTGTACCTGGACTAATTGAAGCAAAGGTCCGTTACTATAGAAACACACATGGAGAACGGGGATCAAAGACCAGGAGCGTTCACTAAAATTGTCCATCTCCCTTTCTTTTGCACTTTTTAGCTACTACCTTATGATGTCATTTATTATCATTTAAGATTTATAAAAGAAAATTTGGATATTCCTGTGCTATTCTTTTAAGCCAGATTGGCACTCCAACCTCACCTTTACACATGTTGTGCTACCTATTTGTAACTGACCCATGTTTTACTCAGTTCAGGTACTATTACACTGGCTTAGACTTTGTGAATTAACAAAGGCCTTGAATCACTGCTACCTACCTAGTTACACAGACGTACCGTCAGTGTATCATGGCGGAACTACTTCCGGGACTAGGTTTCGGTAAGATTTTTTTATTTCCCGATTTACACCTACTTATAAGTCACGTTGTGGATAATAATTTGGCTCGAAGTTAAGGAAGATAGTCTAGTTTGAGAATGTGTCGATGGTTTTAGGTTTTATATGTTAACGAAGACACAATTCACGTATTTAGTCCCTCGCTTTTGTTACACTGACGAACGACCAATATCAGTGTAATATTGACAATATTAATGCCGATCGTCAGTGAAACAAAAGCGAGGGACTAAATATGTGAAATGCGTCTTCGTTAACATACCAAACCTAAAACTATCGACACATTCTCAAACTAGACTATCTCCCATAACTTCGAGCCAAATTATAATCCACATCATGACTTATAAGTAGATGTAAATCGAGAAATAAAAATATCTTACCAAATTCAAATCCCGGAGGTAGTTCAGCCATGATACACTGACGATACGTCTGTGTAACTAGGTGGGTAGCAGTGTTGAATGGTCAGGAAATTACTTTATCAAGGGAAATTAAGATAAAACTATTTTTGAAAGATTTTTTTCAAAAGGGGATTTGAGTTAAATCACAAAGCCTATTCTATGAATGTGAATCAATGATAAAAACATTTCCATTATACATGGTCATTGATGCTTACTTAAATTGTTTTTATTTTTGAGAAACTGTTTGTATTATTTTACTGTTCCTATTTAATGTTATTTAAAGTTAAGTTTATATTCCCCTTTCTTTCTTGACTGGTGACTTTTTGTTCTGGTAAGTTATATGGGAATATATGGTATCTTTCTTATAAGATCCTTCCTTAAACTAAAAATTGTTTCACTTTATTGAAAATATTATACTTAATTCACCCATGCATAATATAATTGAACTGATTTTTGGATTTACATGTATTTATATTTCTTGTAATTTTTGAGATTTATTTATTATAAAAAGAAATCAATTGTTCTGTTAATTTTCTGCATGGATGTTTCTGACATAGTGATCCAATATTATTTTGGGTCACTCTGTATTAGTATTTTCATCACCATGGAAATATGTATTTGTTGGTTTTTAACCACCCTTAAGTTATTTATAGGAAGTAAATGTATATCCCTGCTGCCGTTACGTTTACGGCCATATAACAACTCTCAAAAGTTAGAAAATGTTACAATCAATTTTCAACAAGGAGTGACCTAAATTTCATACTTTTGAGAAGAGCTTTATTGAACAGAGAAACCTGTTGAAGGAAAACACTCATAAAAATATATATTATTAGTCTTATATTCACCTACAAGTGTGATTTAAATGTTCACATTTCAAGGTATTTAACAAAGTAAGGTGTTTATACACTCAGGTTTTACTGTACAATATTCTATGTATTAACTATTCCAATGCATGGATAAAGGGATTACTAAATGCATGTGATGGGGCTCTACAAGGCAATATCATTTCTTCCATTGTTTTAACATATTTAAGCTAGCTTTTGCTGTATGCAATCTAACCGCATGTTTTGTAATCTCAAGTTCAATACTTTGGCATCACCCTGTAAGGTACGGTGAACACGTGTGAATCGTCATGCTTTAAATATTGTAATATGTTCACCCTATAGTCATCATGTTCAGCACATGATACACATTTTTATCAGTTTTTTATCCAATTTTTCTATTGATAGCTAAGATGTACCTTTACATGTAGTTACAAATTGTTCTCAATTAATCGTTCAGTACTAGATATAGTACATTTATATATCCTTAAACCATTTTTGACAAGAGGCTTGCTAAAAATCATAAATTTTAACTTTCATGGTAAGTGTCATATAGATCCTTATATACAAAATGCTCACAAAACTTCAAAGGTGGTGGAGCTGACCTAATGCTGGCAAACTTAAAGAGATTTCTTCTCACAGATATCAAATTTTTTTATTCGCAAACGCTATAATGGTTTTAATGGTCATGTATCAGCACTTACGGGAAATGCTTTTTGCCATTTTCAGCAAAAATTGCATGTTCTAAAATAATATAATAATGCGGCTGGTAATGGAATCTCAAAATGAGATGGAGTCTTCTTCTAAACATTACTAGAAATCATTATAATGCAAAATTGATAACAAAATTTCATTTTTATTCAATATTTATAAACAAGCTACATTTGATATAAAGAATTGAATTCTTCAAACTGTAATTATTCATAACATTTTAAACTAATGCATTTAAAAATGTAAAACTTATTATTCAGAATAACCATTGATGCCAAGTAGCAAAATTTTAAAAACACAAACCATAAAAAATGAGATTAGATAATGATACTTCACATAGTTCATCTTATTTGCTGAAAAATAAAGATTTTTCTTTAAATATTGTTCTGTTTTTGAATGATCTACTCATATTGCAGTGTCACAGGGACGAGGTAAAATGTCCCTTTTCAGACGTGCAAGAAAAAAGAGCGAGAGTAGTAGTGACGAAGATGACGACGAAGTGAGTCTAAAAGGAACACTTGAAATAATGAAAAGGAATCATAATTTTTTTTATGATATCAAGTAAATTAATCCTATAAATTGAAAATATGTGGGTCTCTTTATTTTTCTGTATGCTGTATATGGGCACTTGCGTTACATGAAGCAAGTGAATACTGTGAAAAATGATTTCTCTGAAGCACCATATATCACTTGATATGAACATTTGAAGATCTTAAAAAATAGTTCATAGGTTCACCTAGTTGCATGACCCTCCTCTTGATTTTTTTAAACTGGTAATAATACAACTCAATGTGACCTATTTATTTTCATTTTACCAAAGCATTTTGAAAGTCCATATTTTGACACATATACTTGTCATTTATGACAAAAGAATAATGACTAAATTGAAATTCAAACAAATAAGGACAACGTAACTATGCATCTTGATAGTGTCTCACTATGTCTTTGGATAAAAGTAATTAATTCCCCCCCCCCCCCCGATGTAAAAAAGTTAATAGGGGATGTAGATGTATCCAAACCATAAAAAATTGTAGGTTGAGGAGAAAAAATAATTTGTTGAATATTTTATCATAACAACTTTTAGAAAATGCACTAGAGTAGCATGACACATTTAACATTATACTATAGACTACTCACATTTATCATTGTTCCAAATTGTTCGTTTTTAGTATGCAATACAATTACATTGTATTTTCTAATTATTTGCACACCATTGTTATATTTATATTTTTTTACTATTTTTGTTTTAAGGATATTTTCATTATTTTTATTGAAATAATTAATTATTTTTTCAAATTACTGAGTGAAAGTATTCTTTGTAGAATATTATTTCAATCAAGTATAAAAGCTATACATTTGAAATCTCCAACCCTACTTTTCATCAAATATTGAAATGAATCTTTTTTATGAGTGAAAGAATAATAAAGAAAATATGGGTGCATATTTGAACTTAGATCATGATAAAAGATAAATATATAAGTCAATTGAAAAACGTTTTATCGCATAATCTTAAAATTAAATCTTTTTCATCAATATGAATATGTATTGTGAAATAAACACCTAAATTAAACAGAATGCATGCTATTAATTACAAATAATTTATACTTATATTTATTTCAGAATTCACAGGACGGGAAGACAATATTTATAAAGATTCATGCTCCCTGGGATGTTCTTGCGCGATATGCAGAGCTCATGAGGATAAAAATGCCAATTGAGGTGAATATGATTATTATGTCATATGGAATATATTTATTTAGAAAGAATTTTATAGATATAAAATTAAGAATTGTATTGTATGTGTGGGGGCTTTCCTTCAATGTGAATATATATTTTAAGGTGAATATGATTTATATTAACCAATACTTAAAATCAGAATATGAGTGTGTTAAATATAACTTTCCATATTTATATTATAGAGCTTATTTTTGATAACTTTACGATCTTGTGTGGTGAAAAAGCCCATAACTAAATTGCCACAATTTGCAAAAGTGTCTCTAATTGTTAAAGGTTGTTTCTAGTTTTAGTTCAAGGACTATTTATTATATATTTTGCATTTTTATACTTGGTTATTTTACGAGCTGTCTATTTCATAAGATTAGATGTGTTAAAGTACAACTATTCACTTTTCTTATGGCTTTTATTTTGTAAAAACATCACATTTTCAAATGATTAAAGATTCCAGACTATATTGTTACTCATAATTTGAAATTTCAGCTTAATACCGTTGTTGAAGATACAAAGGTATTTGCATCGGCATGGCAATGATTAAAAATTTTCAATTAATTGATTACTAAATTTTTGATATGTCTGTTTGATATAACTTTACTGTTTGTATTTAAAGGCCCTATGTGCATTATACCCTTGATGTAATTTATAACACATTTTGATATTGTAAAAACTGATCTGTGTTTGATGTTAAGGTATGCCAAATGAACATTTTACATGTCGGGCTATATACAAATGTCATTTAAAAACTGATTTAAAAGTCATGTCTCTAGGACCACCTTAAAGGGAATTGTCAGTCCGTTCATACATGACCAAAAGGTCAACAGAGCTTTAAAACCAAGGCCCTTTAAATGTACAGAATGCATATTACAAGGAATGTTTTAGAATTTTCTGTGTTATAGTTAAGCCCAATGCAAAATATATAACAATCTAAGAAGTCTAATACACAATTAAGAAATGCTTCAATTTGAGATTCCTAGTAATGGCTTCGTGGACTGCCAATAGATGGCACAGAATTCAGTTTAATTGTTTTCGTCTCAAAAGGCTCCAAGATTTTCATGACTAAGACCTGAAACTGATTGATATTGAATAAGTGAAATTAGTTTAAGTATTCAAACAGCAATATTTATGTACAAATCATAAATGGGCCACGTGTGAAAAACAACACACTGGTGAGAGTTAGAATTAATAAACAGCCATCTTTAAGGGTCCTTAATCTCATTGGTTATTTTCTTGTTGCTGTGTATCAGACTGTAGATTTAATCCTACCCCATTTTTTATTAAAACTGGCTAACTGCATTGAGTTGCAAAATGTGCATTTCTTCTTGTATCCCAAAATTTGCTTATTATATTATAGTCTTTTATTTTAAGTAGTTTTTAATTTAATATATGTTTATTAAGTAACCATCATTGTAGTCTGACTATCTCACCACTGATGGCATACAGTCATTATGATGGTGGTATGATCATTATCGTGATAGTGGTCACTGTCATGGAAGAGTTTTGATAAATCCACAGGGGCTTGTCTCGAGGCGTCGGGCAAGCCCTCCGATGAATCTACTGCTTATAATAGTATTAAGGGTGGTCGGTTTTGATGCTACCTGAAATTTGTAGAAAATGATTGTTAGATATATCAAGTAAAAATATATGGAATCCTTTCAATAATCGACATGCTGATTCAAACAACACTAAAGAGTAAACTTACCTAAAATGGTAGCAATCCATCCACTTGTTGCTGAGAAATCTGAATAATTTGTTAAGAAGTGATTACACTGCAAGTACCGAATTTTTTTGCAGCCAAATTATTACCTCCAGAGTCGATTTCTTCCCCAAGACACGTCCACTGTTAAAAATTGGTAGTTCCTAGAGTTCTTTGTTTCCTTAGGTTCATTCCCGTATGTTATTTTTAACGAAGGACAGCCTATAACGACTGCTATACGCAAAAAGATGCATGAAATTAAGTTTCGAAACTGAAAGTTGAAAAATGGCGACTTTCCCGTGTTCTATGCGCATGCGCAGCGCATGCGCAAAAATGAAAGTACTTCATTCCCACAATTCAGAAGGATTCGAATTACTTTTCGGCGGTTGGATCGGTACCAAATGAAAGATTATTGCCAAGGAACGGATAACATATTTCGAAAATGAGAGTAATTTGTTTTATCACTAAAGGAAAATATTCCCGCAATATTAGGTGCATCATGGGAATGGACTGGTGTGAAATAATGAACGCAAGTGACATCTATCTAGAAAAATATGTGGTCATTGCGCATGCGTTCATATAATATGAACTAATCAAATTGCTGGATTGAACGCAACTGCGCATGGAACACATTTTCAGTTTCGAAACATAATTTCATGCATCTATTTTGCGTATAGCAGTCTATAGGCTGTCCTTCGTTAAAAATAATATACGGAAATGAACCTAAGTAAACAAAGAACTCTAGGGACTACCGATTTTTAACAGTGGACGTGTCTTGAGGAAGAAATCGACTCTGGAGCTAACAATTTGAGGGTGAAAATTGTCGTGTTTTGCATTTTCAATTAAATTTAATCACTTCCTTACATGTTCTTCACACATCTCAGCAACTAGTGGATGGATTGCTACCATTTTAGGTAAGTTTACTCTATAGTGTTGTTTGAATCAGCATGTCGATTATTGAAAGGATTCCATATATTTTTACTTGATATATCTAACAATCATTTTCTACAAATTTCAGGTAGCATCAAAACCGACCACCCTTAATACTATTATAAGCAGTAGATTCATCGGAGGGCTTGCCCGACGCCTCGAGACAAGCCCCTGTGGATAAATCTTGTCATCGGAATTGCAGGAAAGTGGGATGTTGAATTTTCTTCAAATTTTTATGGCTGATTTATATCATGTACCTTGTTGACTGTTATTAAATGTTATATTGCCATACCCACCATTCTTGTGACCAGCATTCAGATTTGGTGACATCTCTGGCTTTCAATGTCTGTTGCTATTGTTACATTTTTGTAATTAAACCAAATGGTGATATATTTATGTTAATACACACAGCTCGTTTATTTTATTTTTACTTTCCTTTACCTTTATTATTGTATTTTCTTGTATAGTTATTTTATGTTTCTGCTTTTATTTAACACTTCTTTTTGTACACATTACTTCAATGAATAAGTTATTCCAGGATTAAAAGAACTGAATAAATCTTCAATTAACCCCTTTTACTGATATGACTTAAACCTATTCATTGGATTTTCACCAGTGGTCTGCCATTTTTAAGTAAAATATATTTTGAGTTATCCTTCAACTGCTCAGGAGGCAAAGCCATTTACGTGTACGTGATGTGTACAATACTAATTGCTTAATTTAATTATTATTGATTAATAATTTTATTGCATATTTTTTGTTTGAAGATTTATCTTTATTTCAATCAAATAAAACATGCATATACCATGTACCAGAGACATATAATAACATATGTATAACATACCATCATATGTATCTGGTTGTACATATGGAAATCACATCAAAACTCCGAAGTGTGAAATGGAAATAAGGCAGTTCATTCAATAAAGAGAAACTGGTGGAAATAAGCATATGTACTTAATGCTTTTAACCCCTTGCATTGTGATCTGTTGCAGGAAATGGATATTACTGTGAGTTCAAATTAATACTAAGTGCTAATACCGTCCTACAGTATGTAAGAGGAGTAGAAATGACCAGTTAGGGTCAGGCAGGGACATTTGGATCAGGGGCCTGACTTTTAGATCTTAGACCCATTGGGGTTTCTGTCATTTCCCTCCTCCCTCATAGTGTGGTAATATATCCCCCACATCACTTCTATGTCTTACAATACAGTCCCATATTTAAGTTCTGTTATCCGATGGGGAAAGGGACTTATGGTTTCAGATATGAAGGTTTTATTTCATTTCTTGAATGATATCATAGCTTTTCTACATTCCTTGTCATTCTGGCATATTTACACTTTTTGGGGTTTTATGGTGGAAGGTTGATATCCAGTTTGTTTGATAAGTATAATTTCATTACCAAGCAGTTCCCTATTGGAATGCAAGGGACAACATTTTAACGCAAGAACACAAGACACAATATTGAATTAATTAATGAGGGAATACAACAAGCTTTGTTTGAAAGGCATGGTAAGGGTAAGCCATAGATTAAGTTGAATGAGTGTGTTGCAAGCCTTGACTAAAAAAAGTGTGTGAGTTGCATTATCAGAGCACTCACTAAAACGTAGCCTGCCTGCATGCCAATTGCCCATTCCCCATGCATATTGGTTGATGCTGTGTAAATGCTGCATTTCAGGGAATTTTCATTATTTTATGATTACAGTGATGGGTAATTGAAATGATTGTATTTAAGATCTTATATCCACTGAAAATAGTCACTATGTAGAATACTGCAATCTTAAGAACACTGCTTCGCATCTAATTTCTTAATTAGTACTAAGTATCATCAAGCAAAGTATGTTGTTCTTATTCTTATTAGAAAGGGCAAGGGGCAGATATTGAAAAACGCAACCGCACTATAATGATCAATCATGAAGAAATATATGAAATTTGGTTCATGTTGGAGTATACTGATTCTTCAAACTAGCAAATACCAGTGTGTTCTAGTATTTACTGGTGAACACTAGTCCACACTGGTAATTACTGGTTCATAATCACGGTACTTTGTACTTTCTTATAATTTCATCTTTCTTGAGCATCTTACACCAGCTTCGAAGCTGCACTTCACTTTTTGTTCTGTATCTGTATTAAAACTGATTTTAGTTAACTACATTATAATGAAATAGAATGATTTTTCATGTTTTAATTTCACTATAACTTTCACTTAATACGCTATGTAGTTCTTGTCTTTCTACTTTGATAAAACCGCCTTTCTAATGTGTTTAACATACATTTTCTTTGTTTATATATTTTATTTATCAATCTTATTTTCTTGTCTTTGTTATTTTATAGGAGAATGACATGGATATAGACTTTACGAGCTGTTTCAATAAGTGTCACAATCCACTTGACTGGAGCGAAGATATAGTCCCAGCTGAGCCGAACTACTTTACTGCACCATTTAACAGGAGCAGAGAGAACATGTATGTACTGTATTAAATTTATAATACAAGTCACTTTAGAGTTTTGTCATACTATACATTGAAATTTTATTTTATTTAGTCTTTTTTATTTGAAGTTTATCTTGAAGAGGATTGCCCAGAAGTATTGTGCTTTTCATTGGGCTCTCCTTTCTCTTCAATTTATTCAATCATTTTTAACTTTTAATTTTGAATTTCACACTTGATTATGAGATAAAAAAACACCTCAACTGCTTGACTAAAATATCTTATCCAAAGCTAACAACAATGCTTATGTTATATATTTTTCTGCTTGAGTGTTACAAGCATAATGTACATTGTATAGTAGTCTTACCTTTATCTATGGGCAAATACTATGCCCTCCTGACAATGCACCTCATGTAGAATGCTTTAGATTTATCAATTAACATTAGTAGTAACTAAAGGCATTTAATTGTTATGTCCTAATATTGAAGGTTATTACTGAATCAAATTTACATTTTATATCATACCAATTTTTTATTTCAGTAAATAGTAAGCAATTTAGTGACAGTCTTCCTAATAGGATTCACTTCGTTGATTTTTTTCATTCTGTCTATGTTACATTTCAAAATAGAGGTTGTTGAAATCGAAAAAATTGCAAAATGGAGTAAAACATGCTACAGGGTTCAAGTGCATGCATTGAGGTATTATTGTTCATTTGAAGACAAATCATGGTCTCCAAAGGAGTCCTTCATTATTGGACTAATTTTAATTTCAAAATTCCTAAAATCGGCCTTTAACCATAGATATATTTACTTTGCAAGAACATTGGCTTTGAATTCATGTTTTAGTTCATTGTCAAAAAGCAATTTTTATGTTATACGATTGGAGGATTACTAGGGTTCTTGTTTTTCCTTTCGGTCATTCAGTTTCCTTTGCGTTACACAGAACCTGTATATTCTACCAATTGTAGATTTCTGTCAGCTATGTGTAAAATAAGGCCAGGGTAAGTAATATGACAGTTCAGCATTACCACCCGCATCCTTCTGAACCTCCCGGATTTGTATAATTCAGCAAAGAAAATTGGCTGCACATTAAGCGTTTTTATCTATTTTTCATATAACTGATCCATGGGAGATTGTTAGATTTTACCCTGCTCCAAATTGTTGATACAGTTCATCATGTTATCATCAGAAAATGGCAGAAATATGAAGTGATTTTTTGATTTTTTCATATATAGACCTGGATCTATTGGAGTCCTCACCAAGTATTTTCAATTACTTCCCTAAGTATAAAGACCCGTATTTCAAACCACTTGGTCAGAGATTACCATTAAGAATCCATTGAAAACCTCTAAGCCAATCAGAGCAAATGTTCACTGGACTGCAGTCCATATTTGCTTTGCCATTAATTCATTTCTTGTCAAGGCAGTCGACCCCTTTCCTCCAAGCACTTGCTTCACACATTACACTTCACGTTCGGACCACATCCTACAAGCTCAAATGAAATCTGCTAGCACTCTGAAGAAGTGACGGGACCAAATCTAGCAATAACAATTGAGAAAAAGGACATCACACCAAAATAATGTATGAGCTCTGTTTGTTATTTTGAAGATACAAGTGTAATTTTTGTTGTGATGGCCTTTTCCTTTAACATTTCCACTCGGATTACCAAAAAATAAGAAAAAATCGGGCATCCCTCATCACTTTTAAGGGTTTTGAAAATAAGAAAAAATAGTGCAATAAATGCTAAACTTTTATATCACTTACCCTAGCCTTACTAAAGTAAAAGTTACAAAGACTGAATAGATGTCACTAGTGTCTTATTGTGTAAGCTACTATAGAAAGTGACTATTGTCTGTGACTATTGTCTGTGTATCTGCATTGTATCATGGGATTCTAGATAGCTTCTAGTAGACTCATGATTGTATTTTAATGCCAATGAACTCTAACTTGTCATCCTAACTAATATTCTACATTTATTATAATTGCTATTTTATGTTCTTCTTTTCATGTTGCAGTGGATTGTAAGTGCTTTATATTGTCATATACAGAATATGCATTCTCGCTGACCTTTTACCCTGCTTCTCTGACCTTTAATATAAATCCTAATATATAGCTACTTTATTTAATCCACCTCCCATTGCATGTGATAATTTATTTTTAAATTTACAATTCATATATTTTTTATTTCTTAATCTTGTCATCTTCTAGATCATTTCACAGACCAGCTTCTAATTCCCTTCCTTACCATATTATACCCATATCCTACAAATCCCATATCCTCTTATATAAGGTCCCTTTAGTAATGGTAAAGTGTAAGGTGTTATGGTGGTCATCTTTTAAAATCCAAAATATGGTAGCAAAGAGTGTAATAGAATAATGATGTTTTACTCCATAAATAGATACTCTAAACTAATATGTGAAAATCAGGCAATGTTTCACATTTTAGAGAGTTATGGAAATGAAAATTACTTTGTATAAGGCTATATTACAAATGTACTGAAAGTACATGCAAGAAAATTAATTCAAAAAGGAGGATACAGTATCTGGAATTTGTATGACCAGCATAACATTTTAAGAGTAAATGAATTGTAGTTTTATTTTCTTGTGGTATGGTATGTTATGGTGTGCGTCGTATTGTTTGATAAACAGTATGTGTGACCTTTATGTAAGACTAGTTTGTGGTACATGTAGTTGGACTTTTGTCATATCGATTTTGTGTGACATTGTTATTTGTGTTTGTGTATCAATGAATGTGTGTCTCATGTGTAATCTTTTCAACAAACAATACAATCATATCAATTTTCTGTAAAAATATAACAATACAAATGATGATTCCCCTAATAAAGTGGATAAAGAAAACTCTAAAAAATATTCCAGTGAAAAACTTTGAAAAATTCCAAATAATTATAATCAATACATGCATACATCTACAATTTTTGGGGATGAATTATCAATTGAAACCTGATTTGATTTTTGACTTTGTTTTTTTATTGATATTTAAAAAATAAGTGATGATTCTTCTGTTTACAGTACGTAATGTTATTTCCATTTACAATAATGATACTTCTATTTAATACAATAATTATACATCTATTTATAATAATGTTAATAGTTTCTTCTGTTTACGATAACCTGACTTACATTTATGATAATGATACCTGTTTTTAAAATTATGGTACTTTTAATATGTACAATAATTATACTTCTATTTACAATAATAGTAATACTTCTTTTTATATTTCCAATATTGATATTTCTTTTCATAATAATAGTACTTCTATATACAATAATGATATAGTCACAATAATGATAGTGTTTTTCACATGTTCTGATATTTTTTAGTATGTAATAATCCAATTTATTCTTCTCAATGTTTCCATGGTTCAAATAATTCTTCATATAATGTAAGACCAACTTATAACCTTTCTTTGTTGCTATAGTAACTATTACAGCATTTATCCTTCCCATTTAATCCAATGGCACTATTTTCTTACCTAAAGGACAAAGATTTCTTGTAAAAGATTGTGTGATATCTATTTTGATATGTTTCAGCTTTATAATTAACAACAAGGACACATTCTTCACAAATGCACAGAGGTCGCGTATGGTCTATGAGGTGCTGTTGAGAACCAAGTATGAACCAGCAAGAGATAAGATAGGTATGAATATAGAATAGTTACAGACCCATAGCCAAATCAAATCGCAGCCCATCGATTTTCAAAGAATTTCAGAGAAATACAGCAACACATCTCACCTTCGTGTCAAAAAATTTCAACAAAAATATCCCATTTTGCATGTTAATGTCATGTTAAAACATTCCAGGGGAATATATTAAGAATTGCATTTTTGATTCCTGTGACTTGAAATGATTGGGTTTCATATTCCTCTGTTGTTTATATATACATGTAATGAATTGTTTTGTGGGTTAGATTGAAATTAATTGCTTCATTATCTGATTTCAGGAATTGATAAACTGGTCAGTAATGGCGCCTATACTGCCCACTTTCCATTACATGACGGCAAATTCACCAGTGAACACTCCATATTGACCAATGGGGCTGCTAATGACAGACATGTAAGTGAAATCTGTATATGTAAGCTAATCACAAACTTGGAGTTCATGATAGGTAGTGGTAAACATGCTAGTCTGAGCTAGTCTGCTGTAAAAATGTATATTGAATAGACCATGCAAGGAATTTGATAATCTGGTGAATGGACAGCAAAATGATATAATATATATTATAACATACCTATGATGATGTATAGTGTAAACTGTTCACAAGACAGCGGGCCAATATAACTTTTGAATAGCCCGTGCCTGCTAATTTCTGATTGGTCAAGCGCTGGGACTACGTCATACATTAGGCCTAGGTCAAATTGTAAGATACAAACATGGGAATAAATCATCATTTCCGAACCATTGCTAGTCAATTAGATAAGAAAAGGGTACTCTCTGACCAGACTAGATCATCATAGGTATGTTATAAATCGTTTATGTCACTATCGTTGCACATATGCCCTCGGTTCTCAATGATCAATGTCCCTCCCAAGGTCGGGCCATATATCACTGAAACCCTCGGGCATACATTGTATATGCAACGATAGTGACATAACCTCTAAATATACAAAAAAAATTCTTTGAACATTTATATTACACAATTACAGATCCTATTCCCCTTATTCCATCTTATGAAGTCTGTGTGTAACACAGAACATCTAGTTTAAGATCAAAATTGAAATTTTGTGCGGTATAAGTCCTTTGAATACAAATGAGTTTTTAAACATGCAAGCTAATGACAGGCAAATGATTGAAAGAAAATGATTGTTTGAAACTTAATGAGGTAATGTCCTTGTCACGCAAACTTCATTGTAATTGGAAAATTATGCTTAATTTAAATTCTAAATTGTACAATAATTTTGTATTAAATTGCAAGAAAATCAGACCCTGAATGAAGAAGTTATTGAATTTGTATCGATATAAACAACATCAGACTTGTAATTATATGTTATATATAAATGATCAAATTATTGGTAATCAATGTAGGTCGTAGGATAATCTGACTAAGCAGTTTTATATATTTTCTATTACTTATAGAATTATTATAATATGAGATGTTAAGTGTAATTATCAATACTGCTTTTTGTATTTGATATTTTGGATAAACGATGCTATTCATGAAAGTATTATTACTAAAAAAGAAGCTGGAGTTTCTTTTATTGATCTTGTGTTAATATTAAAGAAAATATTGGAATTCTTCGTCAGTATCACTGTTTCATACGTGAGACTTTTACTCCCAAAATCTTCTTTTTTTGATATATTTCTGTCTTTCTTTCGATTTGTCAAACAAATTCTTATGTCCCACCTATTATGTATAAATATTAAATATACCTTGTTTTCAGTTGTTGTATGAGACATGGGCCAGGCCTGGCGTATGGTACAAACATCAACCCCTAGATCTCATCAGAAACTACTTTGGCGAGAAAGTTGGTATATATTTTGCCTGGCTTGGATTCTACACAGGGATGTTGATTCCTGCCTCTTTAGTTGGTTTAGCCGTCTTCATTTATGGAATAGCAACGCTGTGGGAGAATATACCAAGGTATGAGATGCATCCCATGGTAACTTAGGACTTAAATGTCATCTTGCACTAAATTTTAGTTGAATCCATTTGATTAATTGAAAGAGTATGTACTCACACACTTTGTTTTCCAAACTTTTGATAAGGTGATTTTCTGTAAAAGTGGTACTGATTCTCATATTTTAGAAAGACCCTTTTGCCACCCATTCTCCAAACAAAATTAATATAGAGAGAAAATAGTATGCATTTCTGCAGATACAGTTTCAGATTATTGGTATTTATGTATCTTTTACACATCTGTTTGAAAAACAGAGGAAAATACTTGATTTGATTTTTTCATTAATTGGAAAAATATTAGAGGTGTAACTCCCGAGTCAGTAACTCGAGTACAGCTCGTCAGAGCTGCCTATACATTGCCTCGAGTTGTCCTCTAGAAACTCGCAATCTATTTCAACTCGCGAGCTAGCTATAACTCGAGTCAACTCGCGAGTTTTGCCTATCTTGTAAGCATGTAAAATGAATTCGGGTCCCAGAGATCGTGCAACATTACTTCATTAGTGGAATAAATATACCAACGATCGCCATATTTAGCGCCCGTCACCTAAAAAACACTCTAAAAGCTTCACAAAGTTCAACTAATATCGTGGAATGACGAAATATCAGAAAAAGATCGACTATCGAAGGAACTCAAGCGGGCGATAATAGAGAAGTCACTAAAATTGAATAAAAATGGTCTCCTTATTCTCACGTCGTTTACACGACTTTTACATAAACTTTAGATCGCTTTAGTATAAATAATTAAGATAATCCGGGAAAACCATTCATTAATTTGAGGGGCCTTTCTGGGTTTTCTAAAATATTGTTTGGTTAGATTCTAGCGATCTCTCATCCTTACCGTATGCGGCGACGTCTATACCAGATCGTTTTTGATTGAAATATGAGATAACTGCAATGAATACCACACTTTCATATGGCCCCAACGTGTAAAACAGCTTTTAGATGTTACTAAACCAGAGAAACTTGCCGCTAGAAGCTACAATAATTTTGTATACCCGGGTTTACAACATGTACTGGACGAAATGAATGAACTCGAGTTTAACTCGAGTTTTGGAAATATTTGGCAAGTTGAACTCGAGTTGGATTTTTCTCGCGAGTTACACCTCTAAAAAATATGCAGAAACAAGGAAATCTTTGAGCCTTGATCTATGAGATTTAAAGAAAATATCTTAAAGAATGTTGTAAGCAAAAACCAAAATATCTCTATATTAAAGCTTATTCTCCCTTTAATTGTGTTTACAGTGAAGATATATGTGACAAAAGTGGTGCAGGGAACATCACAATGTGCCCGCTGTGTGATAAACGATGCTACTACTGGAAGCTATCCACTTCCTGTTTATACAGCAGAGCCACCTATTTGTTTGATAATCCCTCCACTGTTTTCTTCGCTGCATTCATGGCTTTATGGGGTAAGTAGATCACAGACATATAGAGTAGGACAGCATTTGTCAAAATATACTTTACAAAATATGTGTAAAATCTGTCAGAGAGACAGACATGATTAAGAGTCGGTTCAAAAAATATATGTACTCCATTCATATCTCTGGTAATATCTGTTGCTGCAATTAAGCATTCACAAATAAACAATACACAGGTTAAGAGTAGATTTCACGCTACAGTGTATTTATATTTCTGGTGGTCTATTATATTGCTGTCATTTTGTTCACAAATAAGACCCTTAAATATACATTGTGTCACATCAATAATAAAAAGTATAGATTGGCTACAAGTAGATTTAGAATGAGTTCTCATCAGTTAGCAATTGAGACTGGAAGACATACAAAGCCAAAACCAAAACCTTTAGAGGAAAGAGTATGTAATATTTGTAAAGATGTAGAGGATGAATGTCATTTCTTTTTAGCTTGTACAAAAAATGATGAGAATAGGCAAATATTATATACAAAAGCCCGTGAAATTTTACCTAACTTGGATTTACAAAGTGAAAATTTATTTGTCAATCTTATTTCTAGTAAAAATGTAACCTTGCAAAGACATATTGGCAAATTCATTTACCATTCATTTAAGAATTTAGCATGGTCATAATGCATTGTGTGTGCACCACACTATTATTGTTACCTTATATATTTTTATATATTTTTTGTATTTTTAGTTTAGTTGGTGTTTTGTAGTTTAGATATGTAGTCTACCATAGTTCTGACTAATGTAATCATGTTATGATACTATATGTCAATAAAAGTTATATATATATATAATTGTAATTCATATTACACATCCCAAAGCAATCTTGAACTTTTTCAGCATATGCCTTCTGTTACATGTGCACACATAAATCTGAACTTATGTCACATCTACCATGTCACACCATTTGAAACTTTCATCATGGTCATCTCTTAAGCTGTTTAGCGTTCACAAATATAACCTAATAAAGATGAACACTGCACGTCACACCATTTGTAACTACGATGAGAGCACATAGTAACACAACGTTCATTGTTTGCAACCTGAGGGTCAGCGCCACCCCAACTGAAATATGTTGCTGTTGTTCCTGTTCCCGACCACACCCAGACCTCTGGCTCTGCTCTGTCACTAAGGCCAATATTGTAACTCATACTTGCTAAAAATAAAAGTGACTCCGGGGTTAGTTTTTTTTACCTCTGAATTAAAGTGCTGATTATCAGTATAATTTGGAAGAATGTCATTCATTTATAAAAAAGATATATACAAACATGCACACAATTTATGACATGTCACAATCTAGGACACCACAGTGACATATAAAAGAAGTATCATGCTTAAAAAATTTCGAAATAGAAAGTGAAAGCCAAATCGGCAATATCCAGTTTAATAAAATAGGTGTTCAACATTTGTTTGATATCTTGTGTATCAGCAGACTATGACTTTTCAAATGACTTTCTTTTGTTATGTGGTGAATGAATCTGACACCCCAAGTCTGAGAACTATGTTGCCATGTTCTGATTTGATACATTTGCTCATTGTAAATTTCTCACTGAATAAATTACTAAAGTGGACTTTCAATTTAAAGTGATCTAAAGTCTTACGCTGGGCATTATTCAGTAAGTAGGCCACCAAGTCTGCTTGTTCACTTGAATCCTCTATGGTGGCGAGAGTTGCGCCATATTCAAGGCATTTCATCTCTGCATCTGTCCAAGTCAAAGTTTCATGGCTGATACAGTATGATGAGCCACTGTGGATGGTTGTGAGAAAAACCCCTGGACATTCTGCACAAATATACAACACCAAAATCATTGAGTAACAAACATACATTTGGGATTTTGGCGGGAGTTTAATTTTTTATTCCTTTGTTGAAGATTGGTGTAAATTTCATGAAAAATTTATCATAATGTGCAATAGATAATTGATCATAAAGTGAACAAATTGATTTTCAAAACTGATGGTATATTATTTAAATAGAAATTTAAAAAATGGCATCACAAAAACTTAAAATGAAACAATGAATAAATAATATTTGTAACTGAAGCATTTCCTTTTGGAAAAAGGTTTTAGATTCAATGTAGATTGAATGCACTAAAATAACTAATCAAACCCATCACTCACCACTCATTGGCACGAAATAATGAAGATGGCCTGGACTGCTTATTTTAGCCCCTCTTCCCAAACCAAACAAATCACAATTCCATGTTGTTGCCGTCAGTTGTTCAACATTTGTTTGAGTGCATTTTGAATGTTTAACACATTCTTCATTACAGTCCATAACTGAAGAAGTTACGATGTTTCTTAAATGTCCAACTTCTGGTATTATGTTGTCAGGTATGAATTCCTCATTTTTTGCTATGTTGAACAGTTTTCCTATATAAGTAGAACTTGAGCACTCTGTTATTGAAATACAAATTGTTGTGAAAATGATTTTGACCAAACTTTGTGTTATTTTTCCCATGTTGAATGATTTATTTCTGATTACATAACATGCAAAAACTATAAAATTATTTTTAACTCAAAGGCATGTCTTATCTGTAGTGACTTTTAAAAGAATTCATTTCCAAGCGGCATAATCTATTGTAAACTGTCTTACATCATGCTTTATAAGCCCCTATTACTTAATTAATATTGATCTATAACATAGGATCTCGATTCTCCACAATATTCTGTTATGGTTGCCAAGGTGAGAACAAATCCAATCAAAATAGGTTATTTGTTTAGTCACTGTTATATAAAATGTGTCTCAAGTCAAGCCGGATGTATATTTATCGGAATTTCATCCCACCCAACATAGGTTAGGAGGGATATAGAGATTAGAGAAGCCATCCATCCATCTGTCTGTTAATCTAGCCGCTCATCAATCGAGAATGATTTCTCAGTATGGCCACTCAATTGAAAATGGCTACCATATTTCTTGTAAATGTATTCTCAAATATCACAACTCAAATATCAGCATACAGATTTGGTTCTAATTTCATCCTATACAGGGGCATTAGGACAATAGGACCTCTGCCAAAGAAAGTTTTTCAAGATTTTTCTAAAAGGAAAATATGATTTGTTTGGTGTTTTTTTCTAGTTCAACTTGGACCTCATTTAAAGCCAAAGCCAAAACTTGTCAAGGAACTTTAATGTAATCTTTGTAGTGCTATAGAAGATAGGGAACATTTTGTTATGATTTGCTTGTAAAGAAAATACAATTGTAAGAAAACTGGTATGACACCCTTAGGTAATATAATTGTAGGCCTGATGTTATATTGAAAAAGCTAATGTCTCATAAAATTCTTAAATGATTTTATGTTTAGCAAAGTCTTTATATAATTTGCTATTGTGCAGATGATACATCACACTGGTACCTGTATTTATTTACATTTTGTTCTACTTTTACATGACTTGACTTTATATGTATTTTTGTTTTTATTTTGTAGCCAGATTGGTTTTGTTTAGTTCATTTTTTTTGTACAGTCTAGCGACACATTTGTCATTGTGATGACAAAGAGTCATAAGACAATTTTGTTCTGAAAATACCAAATTTTTGACAATTTTTTTAAAATTGATTTTTGAAGACTTTTTATAAACAAACTTCGTTGTCACACACATTAATTGTTGAGTAATAATTTACAACAATGCATTACATACGTCCTAGCCTATTTTGTGTTAAATATTAAGAAAATTTATTGAAAATATGCAAGAAGTAAGTAAGTTGTTCAGAGTAAAAAGCTTTTTTTAAATTTTAGTTCTCATTGAATCCAATGTGACATAAATATTTAAAACATGATAAAAACTTATATTCTACCTAAATAGGCCAACAATATTGCTTTATTTTGAAAGTTTGGCATATTATAAGATATATGTTCAAGAAAAAAGTGACAATTTTTGAAAAATATTTTGCCACCTGTGTTACATCACAGAGTATTGTTGTGACATCACAAGTGCTTTAAAAGTTTATATGTGCATAAAAGTGTAGATTAAATGAAATAATGTGATGTTTTCCTGATCTTATCTACATAGTAGAGTAAATGATAAGTTATACAATCTTTAGTAATGTATTTGATGATCTGAAAATCTAAACTTTTGTTTCCTCAATGGCGGGAAATCCAAATGTTTGAAAATCATGAGATCAACAACTTCTTTTCAAAAGACATATTTCAAAAAAGAATTCTCAAATGGTTTTTCAAGTCATGAAAAATAATATTTGAATGATTAAACTAATTATTTTCAAACTTCATATGGGGCCTTTAAGAAATGTGTCAATGAAGTATTACTTAAGCCTTTTGCTCACACAAGGATTTCATAATTCTATTGATCATATTCAATTATCCTCTTGTCTTAAGGGTTATACTATCCATGATATATTTCTAATTTTACCTAGTTTTGTAATTGAAGTCCAGGGTCAAATGACAAATGTAAAGATCTTATTACAATGCACTGTTGAAAAGCCTTTGAAAAAAGGGATCAGGATATTGATATTCAACATATTGATACACTATAATTCAATGAAATACAAAGTAGGAATAGGTGTGTGTCATGTGAATTAGAAGTCTGCTATTGTTTACAACAACATATTTAACTGTTATAAAATATAACCAATATAATTAGGGGAAAAGACCAAGATGATGGCCACAGATTTTCCTGATCATTGTTAAGACACTGATTTTTGAAATGGACTGAGGTCAGTACATGTAGGTAGAAAAAAATCCAGGGTCATATTTTTGCCATGAATTATACAATCCAGGAGTTTATTCCTGGGGGGTTCACTGTATACAAAATTCTACAGGGGTCCTAGGCTGAACCCTCAGATACATGTATCAACATGCTCCCATACCAATCTGTCACATTTAAATGTGTTCCCATACAATCCAAAAACACCCAAAAGCCATACCAAATGTCCAAATATAAGGCCACCAATGTCATACCAAATGTCCAAATATAGGTCCAATGCTATACCAAATATCCAAATATAAGACCAAGGGCATTCAAAATGTCTAAAGCCTCAGGTAGAAGGCAGATCTTTGAGGAAAATGATATAAAACAACCTCAAATTAAGGATATTTATGACAACTAAACCAATGCCATACCAAAAGTGAGAGGTAACATTTTTTCCATGACCATTCTCATACCAGAAAGTGGAAAAATCTGACAATTGCCATACCTCAAAAGTCATAATTTCGAGGGCATTCTCATAACAGTCAACCCCCCAGGAGTTTATTATCTCGCCAAAATTTGCCAATTTAAAACACTTGCCAAATTAAAGACAAATACTGTAGATAATATTTATTGAAATAAGTAAAATACTTTTTGAATACTGTTTATTTGTTTATTATTTCTATTATGTAAGTACACTTGACATTGTTGTCTCAGGCAAAGGTTTGTTAGGCACTCATTCCTTTGTCTACAGTGGAATCTACAATTTTTTGAGGAGTGTCAAATCTTTTAATTTTTGATCAAGATATTAATTTGTGAAATAAAAATCCTAAAGTATTATTGGTTTAATAACAAAATTTATATTTACATTTTTTCTAAATCATCTTTTAATGGGGTATGATGATTCTTCCTTTTGTAATTAAAGAATAGTTTTCTGAAAAATATGAATTGAAAAAAGCAAAAAGCCCCTGCTAAGGCTATTAAAATGACATGTTCTCGTGACATCATGGGCAATGTGTGTACTAATACATCATTTTCATCATTTGTAACACTCTCATCATCATTGATATTAGGCTGTTTAATATTGTTTATATCCTTTTCATCAACAGTAATATCATTTTCTATGTTCGCGCCACTTTGTTGCCTTACAGCTCTCCAGCCATTTCTGAGGCGCCTGCTAAGTCGCTCAACTATTTCTGCGTATTCTGGCTTTTTCGCAAGGTTAATGTTCTCCTCGGGGTCATTTAAATGATCATGCATTTCTCTCCATTTAACTGAATTCCACATTGGTGTATTTGCTGGTTTTGATATAAACTCGATCCATTCTGTGTAACGATAGCGTCTAGTACGCATACTGTATCCCATTATATATTGTCTCCTATACTGTCTCAAGTATTGGCTGAATACCCTTGGTTTACTTTTAACCATTGGGTTGTTTATTATTGGGACGAGACTACTTCCCTCCGAGCATACTTTGACATTAGTGGAATTCTCTGGACATTGAGGGATAGTTTGGAGGCCAGCTAGTTCAACAAGTGTAGGATAGATGTCAGTGAATTCTACTAAGTGGTCCGAGATAAACCCTTTGTGGTTATCTGTAATGCCTGGGACGTGAATCATTAATGGAGCCCTGGTGGCAATCTCGTAATCTGTAAGTTTTCCCCAAATTGCATGCTCATATAAATGATACCCATGATCTCCGGCAAATAGCACAATGGTATTTTCACTCAGACCTAAATCTTTGAGTTCTTGTATTAAATGTCCAAAAAGGGAATCAACATAACTTATTGATGCGAAATAAGCTCTTCTTAATTCATGGATTTTTTTATTATTATATTGCTTCTTATTTCGGCTGTTAGGATTATCCGGTAGTGCTGCAATGTCAGCATATTCCATAAACTCCCATCCAAGATTGATACTATATGGAGGCATGTTTTTAGGGAGATAAGGGTTAGTTGGCATACTGATATTGTCCATAGGATAATGCCTAAGGAACCTCCTTGGGAAAATGAAGGGCAGGTGTGGAAGGGCAAATCCAACAGACAGAATAAAATTTTCTTCACCTGATAGAGCTTTTGGCGCTAACCTTCTGAGGCAACCTATTGCATAATCAGTTGATCGATCATCGTGTAACGGGTGTTCGAGTTCTGTTGTTTCATTTATCGCAATCCATGATTTTTCAGTTCTCACAGTTTCCCAGAATGATGGGCGTCTTTTTGGAGTGAAGTATGGCTCGTCATGGGACCATGATAGAATGTCACCACCATCTTTGGTTTGATGATGGAAAATCTTTCCCATTCCTATTGAACGATATCCATGCTCTTTAAAGTACTGTGGAATGGTTGTAAAATTTCCACCGACATTTCTGAAATGATCTTTCAAATTATAGACTTTTGTTGTATCTGGACGACGCCCTGTTAAAAATGATGTCCTACTCGGGGAACATAGCGCCACCTGTACATAGGCTTTTCTAAACACGACGCTGTGTTTTGAAAATTCATCAAGGTTTGGTGTGTAGATAGAAGGATTCATTTGGTATGGGCTAGCCTTGTCATAAAGTGCTTTTATCTCAGGCCTGAGATCATCAGATAGAATGAATAAGACATTTTTCCTGGCTTTGACCATGTGCTCTGAATAAATACAGATCAAGTATAGCACTGATACCGAAATGTTCAAATATTTGCTCTGCATGTTTAGAAAATTGTCTTGTACTGTATGATTATACAATGCTGCTTTATATTTTTACTATGTCTATATAATCCAGTTTTTTAGGATTCACTTACTGTTTTGGTGAGTGTATCAGGTCTGTGTCCTGATTGAAAAGAGTCAGTTAATATTTTCATCCTATATATCACAGTTGAACTAATTTTTTCTCTATTATATTTTAATCTGTTTCCATAGTTCATGAAGCATCTGATGAAGTATCTGTTTTGTAAAGAATCTGTTCTTATATTGTATTATTTTACAAGCCCCATATATGTTGTGTTATTTGATGGTAGTAGATTCATGGACTCTAGTGCTTCCATCTTGAATAAGTTGCTCATGAAAACATATTACAGTTTAATGTAGTGGTCTTTTGACCTTACTAGATAATGGGACTTACTGATATATTCCCTGATGTATGACCATTTAAACATCACTGCATATTGTGTCTACCCAACGAACCGAACCGCATAGCTAGCCTATATGCCAAATACAATAACAGTGTTGGCAAAAATATGATTGGTATACATAATATAGTTAAATACTTATTTGGTTAAAGAGAACCCCCCTCAGAAGTTATTAACCCTCTCTCTAATGGATTTATTATTTAACCCCTTCAGCAGCTATTAACTCCCTCTATACTCAATTTTTATTATTATTAATACAGAATACATTAAAAGTATTTTTCATTGCACCTCCATTCATCCAGAGATAAGCTCTGGTACATATAAAACATGGATTTTGCAAATAGAATTTCATGTGGTTTACATCCCTGAACTTCTTTATAATTATGTTATAATTACAAAACAAAAGAATTCACATATAATAGAATATAATGTATTTGCAGCAACTGTGTTTCTGGAGTTCTGGAAGAGGAAACAGGCTGAGATTGAATATGATTGGGATGTGGCAGACTATGAGTTTGAAGAGGTATGATTTTAGAAAACTATTGCCCTGGTAATCAACATTTAAAGAAGCACTAAAGAATAGAATGTGTAGGATGCTGAAAGAAATATTTGCAAAAAGCATACCATACCATTAAAGAGGCTCTTAAATATTAAATAAAATTAAAGCTTGACCAGATTTTGAAGTCTGGGTCAACCGTTGGAAGGTGACTGGATTTAGAACATTACCTTAATATGTCAAGCTTTGAGTTCAGCGAAATACTCAATAAATGAAGTATTCAATAAATTAAATACTCAATAAATTAAATACTCATTTTGGATTCCCAAGGTATAAAGTTTTTATATGACTGATTGAAAATCAAACTGGTAAACAAGTATGTGAAATACTACCAAGTGAATGTACCAGTCAACACAAACATTTACAACCACAGGGAGAGATGAACAAAACGTAACTATTTCTCATGTTTTCAGCATGTTCGTCCAGAGTTTGAAGCCAAGGTGACTCGTACAAAAGTAAACCCAGTAACCAAGATTGAAGAACCATATTTGCCATTCTACAGTAAAGGATGTCGTAGATTTACATCACTCCTTGTTATATGTTTCATGGTAGGTGAACCCCTATATGTTAAAGTCAACATATTATGATATCAAAATAATCCCAAAAAGATGCTTTAGGAGAGGGAGTAAAAATGCATCATATTTTAGTAGCACATACATGTATCTATTTTTATAAGGAAGCAGCTTCGTAAATTTTTTGATGAAAGAGGTGAATCTGAAATTGCATTTCGGGCCAACATTCAAATGTTAACCTTGTGTCAGTATGAGTTCTTATCAATTCAACAGTGTAGAACTTTTGGATCAACCCTCGTATGCATTAATTTAAATAATTTAGTAAACTTAGTTTGTTTACAGTTAAGTAAAGAGATATAAGTTATTAAATATCATTCCTGACAAGGGTCTGCCATAGACCAGTATTTCCCTCAAAAATGTTGATTTTCCAAAAATCGAAATTCAATATATTTTCAGATTTGCCTTGTATTGGCAGCTCTACTTGGAGTGATTGTGTACCGTATTGTCATTGTCGCAGTATTCTACGCACAACCATATAGGTATATTCAGGAAAATGCCAAACTCGCTACCACGGCAACAGCAGCCTGTATTAACTTGATCATCATTATGTTGCTGAACAAAGTAAGTGCATCTTGGATAAATATTTATTTATTTAACAATCACTTTTTGTAGCAATGGTACTCAGAGGTGCAAGAATAGATATGTAATATGTTATTATGTCTTTTTTAACCAGGGTTTTAAATTCTAAACTAAAATTGAAAATACAGTGTATTCTTGCATCAAGCCCTTGTCACCACCCCCTCCCCCCCCCCCATTCCCCTATACACCTCAACTCTACAAGGTTTTGCATTCTCTGTGCATTTATAATTGCTATTAATAATGACAGACATTCTGAATCTGGAATAGGGGAAAGAGTTTCAAGACACTAGAAAACAAGTTTGAGAAATGAAATAGATATACAAAACATGTAATAATACATTTTCAGATATACTACCAAGTTGCCTTAGCATTGACCAACTTAGAGCGACCAAGAACAGACACAGAATTTGAAAACAGCTTCACTATAAAGATGTTCTGCTTTCAATTTGTTAACTTCTACGCCACCATATTTTATATCGCTTTCTTCAAGGGCAGGTACGTCAACACATTTTATATATGGAATTTTATTTATAAGATTTGAACTGCAAATAGCCGTAAGCATTCATTTTGTTAAAGGGCTAATTGATAGCTGTAATTCGATTCCTAAATAACCCTAAAATATTTTGAATTCATATTGATATGCAACTTATACAATTAGAGATAGACATAACAGTCTTCATTCCTGTAATTTTTGAAATTGTTCTGTGAAAAATTGAATCAATTATATTTGATTATTACGTATTTTGATACCAATCAGATGACAATATGACATGGAGATCTGTTATCTCCAATCAAATTTCTGTTATAATGGATATTGTGACATGTATATTGTGATCAGCTATTCTTGATATTGATAAGCATTTAATATTGCAGCTTCTTTTCATGGCCAAGTGATTATCCGAATTATATGATATTTGACAAGGATAAATATTCCAGAGAACAGGTGATGTTGCAACCATGTAAACAGCATACATGTAAACAGCATGCATACATGTAAACAGCATACATATATGAGACCTAATATACATGTCATTTCATTAATGCTTTCAGCTTATGTATTGTAACAGGAGTTGAAACATAATTAGAATATTCAGAGAAATAATAGATAGGTTTCGCACAATGGGGTAAAACAATCTCACCCAAACATATTCATAATTTTTACATCTCTCTCTCTCTCTCTGTTTAATTATGATTCAACAAAATAATGAATACATTGATTTAATATATAACAAGTAAATAAATTGATATTGATGTAATATTCATATCTTTATTAACCAACATTTTTACAGTACATTGATTTACAGGAACAAGCACCATATTCAACATATCAACATAAAACTTTGTTCCACAGAAATCATAAAATATTATGATTCAGATTTATTCCAAAAATGTATTTTTGTGTAATTTTCATATACAGTATACATATATATTTCAATTTAGTTTTGTCATCTACCCTGGTGCTTCTGGTAACTATATAGACTTTGGAACAGGAGCAAATGGAAGATTTGGACTTGAACAGGTAGAAACATGCGGAAATGGTGGAGTAGGGGGTTATGCGTAATACTGATAACACTCATAATATTTTACATAATACAAAATAGTCATGCATCAAGTCTGTGAAGCTTCCTCTGTTTTATTCAATGTATTTGCTAAAATGAGGATGTAATTCAAGGACTTGGTGCAAGTGAATCTTTTGTAGTCTTACATAAAGTCCCGGGAGAAACTGTAAAACATTTCATTTAAGCATAAAACTTATAAATTAAGTTATTTTTGAGATTTTTTGAGTCATTATTAATTCTTGATTCCAGAATTTCTCCATATCTAAGATAAAATGGTTGATTTGTTACACATAACATTTTTGAAATAACATCTAAGAAAAATGAACATGTTTTACAGTTATTCATTAGAACTTCATGCAAGACCATCTTTATGATCTTGTCACAAGCAGGCCCCTTTTTAACTGTGTATAAATGACTCATCTAATAGATACTGGCTACACTTTTGTTTATTGTACAGTATAAATATTAATACGTATCTGCAAAACACTTTTCTCTTGAGCCACAGCTCTTAATCATTTTACGCATATTTTTTTTTAATATTGAACTAAATGTGTCAAAATTACTACACTGATTAAATCTCAAAATTATACACTACACAAAATAATTTTGAATTAATCAAATTCTATAACATTAATCAGTGTTTTGTGACATCCAAGTTGTGCTTCAATCTTCCTTGAAATTACAAGTTTACAATAACACATTATAAGTTACAAGTATACATCATATATGTCTATGGTAAAAGGATCTGTCCATTACTGAGGAACCTACTTCCCACAACTTAAACTTGGTATGTTTGCGTACATAACTCCCAATAAAGAGGTCACTGAGCTCAATGAACAGGATTGCCTAACCCTTATAATAGGACTACTCGTTCATTGATAACATATAAAGAAATGGCATAGTTTGTTTAAAGAGAGGAAGACCAATAGCTTTAAAAGATTTAGTCTTCCTAAGAACACATCAGAAGATTGAGAGATATATCCCTCCTATTAAAGTAGAGAGGCTGACTGAAAAATATGAATGGTAGTGTTATCAATGGAAGAGTGAAGCAAAAACATTGTCCTTTCGTAAATTATTTTTACGAATATAGATCATAACTTCAGTCTGACCCACAAGTAGACACTTAGATACCAGTTCTAGCTACATAGAATAAGCCTGTTCTATTTGTGACAAACTCATTCAAGTTTTAGATCTCTAGGCTGTCAGATTGGTCTGTCAGTGTCAGTCGAGCCATATGGGTACCAACATAGGAGCCTATGTGTATGCCTTGGCTACCTTACTTAATACATGTATGATCCAGTTGGTGCAGAGGAACTGTAAGATTAGAGTGGACCTCCATCTCTTAAATGATGAAAAAGTGAAAAAACAAGTGTGTGTCCTCAGATTTGTTTCTAATTTATTCCCAGTCTAGTGTCAAACAGTATGGGTTTATAACTGACATAGTATCAATGGAGTTATATGGACTGGGTACATTACCTAATATGGCTTTGCACAAATGAACTTGGAGATTGGGAGTGGGTTTTAATCTCTAAAAATGGTGAACAAAATGGTGATCATAAAATTTGGTTGAGTAGTTTCTGAATTGTTTACTTAATATTGAAATAAGACTTTAGCCAAGAATTTCAGTAACATTTCAAAATATAAGACTTCCTTTTCTGTTAGGAGTCCTGGATTGTTCATATGATCATGTTTAAGTCAGTGTCATATAAGAGTGCAGAAACATAGGTTTCATTCCTTACACTCATCAATCAATTCCAATGCTTTAATGTAATCAGGGTGTGAATCCCCTCCGTACTGATGAGCAATGTTTAGAGCTTCAAAGTAATAAGACAAAGCTTCTGTGTGCTTACCCATTCCCTCATGTGTAATACCTGTTTTCATCAATGATGTAGCAACATCTGGATGGGGGTTGTCTTTGTAGATTTGTCTTCTCATTGTTAAACTTTCTTGATGATGTTCAAGTGCTTTAGTCATATCTCCCATGTCATAATACACACTGCCTATGTTGTTAAGTGAAATAGCAACATGTATGTGAGGACTATCTTTGTAGATTAGTCTGTACATTGTCAGACTTTCTTGATGATATTCCAGTGCTTTCATCTGATTTCCCATTTTTTGATACACATTGCCTATGTTGTTAAGTGACGTAGCAACATCTGGATGGGGGTTGTCTTTGTAGATTAGTCTAGACATTTTCAGACTTTCTTGATGATATTCCAATGCTTTTTTCTGATCTCCCATTTTATGATACACATGGCCTATGTTATTAAGTGAAGTAGCAACATCTAGGTGGGGACTGTCTTCGTGGATAAGTCTATACATTGTCAGACTTTCTTGATGATATCTGAATGCTTTAGACAGATCACCCATGTCATTATACACTTTGCCTATGTTATTAAGTGACATAGCAACATCTGGATGGGGATTGTCTTTGTAGATTAGTCTAGACATTCCCAGACTTTCTTGATGATATTCCAGTGCTTTAGTCAGATCTCCCATATCGTTATATACATTGCCTATGTTACTAAGTGGCTTAACAACATCTGGGTGGGGATTGTATTTGTGGATTAGTCTATACATTTTCAGGCTTTCTTGGTGGTATTTCAGTGATTTAGTCAGATCTCCTAGTTTTTTATACACATAGCCTATGTTGTTAAGTAAAGAAGCAACATCTGGGTTGGGACTGTCTTTGTAGATTAGCCTATACATTGTCACACTATCTTTAAGATATTTCAGTGCTTTAGTCAGATTTGCCAGATCACTATACACAAGGCCTATATTATTAAGTGACTTAGCCACATCTGGGTGGGGACTGTCTTCGTGGATAAGTGTTCTCATTGTCAGACTTTCTTGATAGTATTTCAGAGCTCTAGTCAGATCTCCCAGGCTCTTATACACAAGGCCTATGTTGTTAAGTAACTTAGCAACCAGTATGTTAGGACTGTCTATGTGGATTAGTCTATACATTTTCAGACTTTCTTGATGATATTCCAGTGCTTTCATCTGATCTCCCATTTTATGATACAGATGGCCCATGTTGTTAAGTGATACAGAGACCCATATTTCATCATTGATTTTTCTGCTTATTTTCAGGCTATTTTTATAATGCTGCACTGCATCTGAGTAGCAGCCTTGTGACAAATACAGAGAACCTATTTCAGTCTGTATGGAAACTGTTTTCAACTCTTGCTCTCCTCCTTCATGGTTTTCAAGTGCCTTTAACTCTGTTTCATAAGCATGCAATGCCCTCTTGAAGAAGAAAATGTTTTTATATAATTTTGCTTTCACTTCATTGTTTCCTTCGAGGTATGTCTTGCTATATTCCCAGGTGTTACTTACTTCCAAGTTTAATCTGAGGAATTCACACCAGGGCATGAATGTGTTAAAAAATCTTAGAATGGCAGTAAAACTTCTGACCGGCATCACTTCTGTTGTTTCGTCATCATGACAGTCACTTGGTAAGAATGATATGAATTCCTTTTGTTGCTTATACCTTCCATAGACCATGTGTCTAAGATTAATGACACTACAAACCATGATTTGTAGATCTTTAGTTGCCCCTTCAGTTATGATTCCCTTCCCTTGCAATTCCTCTAGCACATCTAGGGGCGCAAATGATGAGCAACCATGCATGAGTTTCAGGATATTTATTGTGATTGTAGCAAATCTGTATATATCATGTTTTGTATGCATTTTCTGAGTGAATGATTCTGATGACAGAGGGTTTTCACTGTATTTTTCTAAATCTTTCTTCAGTGTTCTTATTGCCCGTTCTCTACCTATAGTGACATCTGGATTAGTTTTGGATGGGGATGATAATATGGAATGTACTTTTTCATTGTACTCCTTCCATAAGTTAAATTCTCCAGTTATGAGTGTTGATGTCATAAGAACGTCACTAAGGTGATAGCCCTCTTTGATTGATTCATCTGTGAACTGAAGCTTGCTCATCTCATCAACAGTCATGATTAGTTCAAGTCTGGGAGGTTTATTGGGATCTACTCCTGATTTCCTGCCAATAGCTGTCTTGCTAGCCCAAGGTTGTGTCCCATCGAAAGAAACTCCCCTGGTGGTTGCTTTGTCATAAAAGTCATTGTCTTTCATGTCAAGGGGTAGGTGTTTGTTATAATCTGTCAGAACAGGTATGTCTAAGCAGTTCAACAATGTTTCCCCCAAGTTAAGCACTTTCAAATGCATGTAATAGGCTATCATGCGCAGTTGTGTTTTGATTTGATCTACCGGTTTATCTAAGGGATCAAACAGTATTGCCCACTCAACATCTGAATAAGCAGTGACCTCTTTTCGGGATAGGGAACCTAGTGCTAAGAATGCAAACTTACAATCGGGATGTCCTAAAACAGAAATACAATCATTGATGATAGATTTATAAAAATCTAAAAGCTGTTGTGTAAGTCCATTATAAAACACCTTGCTGTGCTTTATTGTGTTGTCTTCATCTTCCTCTTTCATTTCTGTGGTCACATCATCAACTACCATGTATTTCTCAATTATGTCATTTACGGTTGTGTTCGAGTACTCTCGTATATTTTCAAGTATATTGTTGTACTTCTGTGTTGTGGTTTTTGTTGATAGTTCGCAATGTTTTGTGGCCCAACACTTCTCTACAAAGTTGCTTTCTATAAGCTGGAGCTGTTTGTCAATGTGTTCCAAGTCATGCTCAAGAGCTGTGTTTGTGCCATCAGTTTGTTTTCTAATCAGTTTCTTTATTCGACATTTGGCTGCATTATATAAGGCACAGGACCAAATGTAGTGTTCATACCAGATATCAGATGTCTCTGCTGATTTGATATACTCTTGTCCAAGTTGGCGCATGAGGTCTGCCTGTTCTTTCAACTCAGTGTGTTGGTCACATGCTTTTATTTTGCAACCAAGTTCATACATTTCTTTTGTTACCTCTGAAAGATGAACATTTAATGCTTAATGGTTAGTTTCTCATTAAATTGTACTTCACATACTTCTGCATATGTCAACAGATAAACAGAAATGCTGATTTAGCAGGACTTATGTTTTTTCAAAATGTTGCCCTTTGTGCTTTCTCAGTGTCATTAACGCCATTTGATAGAAAGTATAGTTTGACTATAAAATATGAATGTGAGTTAATATTTAATCAAAACAAGTTCATTAATGTATATTAATATACTGATATATGGTTTTTTTCACTTTAAGAGACATTTGCTTGCTCTCCTTCGAACAAACTGTACAGTATTACACAATTTTGAATATAGGATGTGCCGTGAGATGTTGGAACATTTTTCAATGAAATGTATCTTGTGATATCTTATATTAGCTTTAGTGAATCGAAGAACAATCCGATGTTAGCATTTTGTATTACTGATTCAATGAGTTCCTTCAGGTCTTCTCTACCTGTCTGAATAATGAGCCATTCATTTATTGCTTCATTGATATTTTGGCACATTTTGCCTAATTTTGACAAAAAAGAGACCTTTTGGGACTTCAGTTAAGCTGATTGGCTTATGAGGGTGTCTTTCTAGAGGCAACCCCATTTGCTATAATCCATGAGGATTCCATTGGGACTTGTTTGGAGGTGAACATTAGGAAGTTTGAAGGACAGATTACTTCAGCAATTAAAACACCAAGCTGTGTGGCGTGGATAATTGGAGCATTTGCATTAGACACCCAAAGATGAAGATCCAAAGTGTGAAGATAATTCTAAAGAATTCTTCAGCTATATGAATATAAAAAATTTTACAAATGTCAACAACTTTAAAAAAATCTCTTGACAAGTTATTTTGGGGATGAAAAATGTTCAAACTTTGCATGGGGACTTTGATTAAAAAATTAGAATTTAAACAAAATGTTGTATAGTCACCTGCTTTCTCATTTGTCAATGGACCAGGATTCTGCTCCACTCCTGCTCTAACAAGTAACACTTTTATGAGCCGTAGCATCAATGCCAGTTGTCTCGGAGATTTCATGATTGGTGATGAATGGGCTGTCTCATTTTTCTGGCCTCCACCGAATGTCCCTATGGTCATTCTCCACTGTTGAACAGAATTTCCCATATTTTATTTTTTATTATTCACATACATGTACTACTTCTATTTTGCGATTCAGTTCATAACAGTCCCAATCTGATATTAATTCAAACAATCTAAAGTGATTGAAAAACAAATGTTGTGTATTTTTAGAATGATCTTTAGACCCAAACAACTTAGTAATAAAACTTGCTTTTATTGAGTATAATCTCAAATACATTACATGCCAAATAACATGTGGATGATCATTAATCAGTATTTATCAAGACGCTGTCAACTTCCTACTTATGAGCCAATTGATAAAAAACACAGCAATTTTCGTATCTTGAATTTTTATGTGACCTTCAGAGAGATATTATTCGATAATCAATGTTTAGCAACCAAGTATTAATCTTTTGAGTATAGCCCATAATAATTTGGGAATAGATTGCTTTGAGGGAATTTTACTCCATGGATTTCCCATTTTTATTGCTGAGCTTGTAGCAGCTAGACCGTGGGTGGAGGTGTTCCAAAACAGATTCACTGATACAAAAGCACATGCAGAGAGAAACATACCTAATTAATTGATAATATCATACAATGATTTATATGGGGTTGTCTCAATTCTAAGACAGTATGGGACCTCTATTAAAACAAATAAACTAAACAAACTAACTTTAAATAACAAACAACCAGAAGACATCAAATGCTACATAAAGGTGATTTTTAGAGCTGATTTCTTAGATTGATAAAATGTTAATTATAATTCTTTTATATTTTAGAAGTTCTTCAATTTAAGGAGATGGCTTTGATGCCTATGTGGCAGTGTCTGTCTGGAAACAAAGAAGTTGTTTAACGTACAAGTGTTTTCAATTTTCACGGGTGTGTATAACCACCCAAAAAATGGTAACATGCTTTGAATTTTACAGCTTTTATGAATACCCAGGATCTGATTGGAATTACATCCATTTAGCGGAAGAGAAATATATGATAATTCAGGTAGAAGCTTTGCCAGTCTGGGACCCATTTCTGAAACATTTTGAGAAAGTTAAGAAATGGGCCCCTGAAAGGATCTGGATCTTGCTACAGTTTTAGGAAATGCCTGGGGGTTAATTTATATGATATGAAGTTAGTTAAGAGCTGCTGAAGCCGTAAAATACTGCATGAGTTAAGAAGCCCCTTTGGTTATATATTACAATTTGTTTGATGCATGTGGACGTTTTCTGGAAGTTTCAGCATTAATAATTGGTGATTCATAATTTTCCTTGTTTTTATGAAATTTTTCATATACTGAAACCTGAAATTATTTTCTGTTTGAGAAAATAAAAATTAAAATAACAAATTCTTAGAAATACATTTATATCATATTTATTGATTTTTATCGATCATTATTAATATAAATTGAGAGAAAAAACAGTATATGGAATATTTTCTTATCATTCACCAGACTTTTGTTTAGCCATATCCATGGAATCATATCATCTATAGTATTGCTTGAGAATGAAATCTAGTGCTTTAATCCCAGTTTACAACATCATCGTTGTCATATCATACCCTATTTGTTTAATATACCTATATCATACACTCATACACCAATGGAGTAATTACGTGTAATTGGATTTTAAAATGAGAGACGTGACTTTCTATGTTTTATACAGTGAAGCCTGTACTGGTTGTCCTGATTGAAAATTGTCACATTGAGAGGTATTCATACTGGTAACATGGGAGTCAATGGGGCATCCAAAAACTATTCACATTTTTGGTGTTCATTTACACATGTTTAAGTGTATAAATCCATCCAATGTAGTTGCTCCACTAACATGAACTGTGCTAAATTAATGTTTTTTCATTTGTCCGTCCATAGAACTATTTTATTTTTGAAACCTCATTTTGATGGAATTATCCCCATCGTTTACTCCGATAGTTTTGCGACTTGAAGATCATAAGCCCAAAACAATATGTACCAATTTTAGATTATAAAAAATATTTTGTTAGCTTAAACATATTCAAAAGATAGAAATATTGAGCTACAGAAATATGCCCCCTTCTTAAATATTCCACTAAATGTCTGACATACTGGAACCAAAGCCAAACAGCATCAACCACATAAAAACACAAATATTCTCATTAAAACTCTATTAGCCTACTTTGATTTTGATGATGTGTCATAAATTGGGATGCAAAACACTGGAGATCAAACTCGTATGAGGATGAATAAACAAAGGGTGGTGAACAATTAAATAATAATGTGTTAAACCTGCCAAAATGTAAATGCACTTCCAGTATATCAAAACTAGCCTTGCTTCAAGACTGTATATCCAAACCTGTACTTGAGGCAAGACTATATCAAAACATCGAAACTTCAGAACCATTGCTCTCTCTTCACAAATGTAATCTTATCAATGTTAAAATTCATAAAAACTCTTTTATAGACATTATATATCAATCATGGGCCATAATTGCTTTCTGGGTCTTTTTTGTCACTTTTCAATATCATTTTTGAATTTGGAGAGCATTGTCTTGTTTCAATGTATACTAGCGATGAACTGGAAGTCAACTTGAACATTTGCTCTGCAAAAGCGCAGCTCTTATATTTAATGACTTTATAAGGTAAATATGACTTTCTTGCTATCGCAGCTTTGTGGGACGCCCAGGATTCTACGATCGAACTTTTATCTATCGTCAAGAAGAGGTCATTATGCTTGCTTTGTTTTGTATGAATAAGTATAACACATGAATTTGAGCAGTGTTATAGTTGGCATTGGACAAAATCTGGTTCTCTTCAGAGGGAGCGAGATTTTAACCAATTGCTTTGTAGGACAATATTTAGAATAAGAAAGACATTATCGTTTTTGAGGTTTTTAGTCATAAACAAGTCTATGTATATTGTGACTCTATGTATACATACATACATTTTGATACAATATTCTGGTTCCTCCTTCAACCATTTTGAAATCAACATTCTATTAAAAAAGAAGAGGAACTTTCAATAATGCTATTTTTCTTACTAAAGATTTTTTTATTTTGTTTAGTTTGTATACTGTAAAATGATACATATTGAATTATCTGTATACTATATCTAGTATATTTTGATGTTTCCTCAAAATTCGATAATGTCTTTCATCACAGACTGTTTGTGACCTCATACATGTACCTGCCTCTTAGTTGGACCACCCTGCATTTGTAATTTCTATTTCTCCTGCAATTTTGCATTTTTCCTGCACTTTTTGATATGAAGTATCCTGCATGTAGTATATATACCCTGCATGCAAAACTGAATGTACACTAACAACCTAACACTAACCAAATCAATCAGTTTTTGTGTTTTATTTTAGAAGTTTTGTAAAGTTGGGGACAAAAATAAATGACAGGTCGATTTTCGATCACCATTTCCTAATTATGGTGGTCTGAAAGCCCATAATTTCCAATATTGTCTAGATACATATCCCTTAAAATTTGTATATTTTACATTTTGTATAATCTCATCCACTGATTTATGGCCTCTTGTAAATTCTCTTATTTTTAACATGGGAAATCCTCACTTCAGCAAATCCACCTGTCATTTATTTATGTCCCCAACTGTAGTTCAATTTTATTTAGGATATATAGTATAGATTTTTATACAGTAGTTACTTTATTTTGTATTTGTAGTAAAAACTAAAAATCAAACTTTTTTTCATTCTTGTTAGAATCACTTTGATTGATCTTATATACTTTTATTTTTTATTTAAAGCAATTTTATTTGTTATTCTTAAAGACATATTTTATTACTTTAAATGATTGTGTTATTACTTCAATGTTTTCCTAACCTTTGTCTCTTACATCCCTGGCCCATACATTCATCCGCTCCATATGCAGTATGATTATTATAAATTTGCACTTCATGACCTCAAATGCACATTTATTAAGAATAAGTGCCTTTAAGTAACTGATTTTGACTTGGCCAAGTTAGCATATCTTTTGTATTTCTTTTGAAATAGTGTCATTTTTTATGCTGTAACATTTCATCTCTGATTGGTCCATTGGTTTCGGTTACAGTTTTTTTAAAACATGTATGTTCCTTTCGAATATCATGCTTACTTTATTGTATACTTTTCATTTGATTATCATGCCCACTTATGAGCTTTATATTTTAATCTGTCACGCCTACATGTGAAATGTATTTTCATAGAACATCATGCCAGAATATTCTTCTTTATCTTCTTTATCATGGACTTTCTTAGAGCCTTTGGGCTTAATGCATATTTGTAGTCAATGTTATGAGAACACCTTTTATATTGAGGAAGTATATCTTTTGTCGAGGGAGCTTATCTTGTAGATTGAGGGAGAATACATAGTAGATTCAGGACACTTATGCATATGTAGCATTTTAGATGAAGCACTTTGTGTTTAATTTACACCATAGTTTATCATGCTTTTATTCGTATAGTGCACCAAAGTGTGAAAAGAATTGGCATTATTCAATTTATTTGAGATATGTTCAATTATCTGATTTTCATCTTTTTTGTTAAGGCATATGCAATTTGATATATATTACTATTTAGATATTTTTTAAAACTAATTCTAAACACAAACTTCTTCAGACAAGTCTCATTAAAACCCAACTATATCAAGTCTATATCTCCGTAATTTAAATCCAGAACTTATTTATTCATTCATTTGTTGGTAATATATTGTTTCATTTTTTAAATAAACAAATGCCTAAATATTTAAGAATGTTTAATAATGAACATGTTTAATATTCTGTATTACAGTGTGACCCTGCAGGTTGTCTAATTGAGCTATGTATACAGCTAGCTATAGTGATGGTGGGCAAGCAGGCATTTAACAATTTTAAGGAGATCATGATACCGTAAGTAAAGTCTTCCTTTTAATTGTTATGTCACCAACAAAAATGGTGACATTTTGTCATGGTTGGCGATCAGCGGTTGGTGTATGTAACAAATGGTGGTGACATTTTGCATGTTAATGCCTTGTTTATAAGATGTTAGTTCAAAGTCTAAAGATCATTCTAAAAGTGTAAAAAATGTCCCTACTTATATGACAAACAATAAGTCTCTAAAGATTATCTCATTATAAAATCTCTAGTCTTTGTTGAAAAATGGATCCTGGATTCATAATAAAATAATTGAATATTTCAGTAAGATCAAAAATTGGTGCTCTGCAAGAGGCGCCAAAAAGGCAGAAAAACAAGAAGACAACATCTACACACGCTGGGAGCGGGACCATGATCTTACTGCATCGCCACCTATGGGATTATTTGAGGAGTACTTAGAAATGGGTGAGCACTTTGAAATGGGTGTTTTTAAATGTACTAAGCTTTGGAAACTATTTAATTGAAAAAGCCACCTAAGTTATTTGACAGACATATCTTTTAGATCCATTCAATATTACAAATCAATCTTGTATAATTGTCCGGAATTGTTCGCTATAACCTACTGGCTCTTTTTGAATAAGGAAACTCTTTTGTTGGACACTTTCATGGTACCATTGAAGATTCTATTTTGGTACCATTTGAAGATTCTATTTTGGAAAAGAAAAATATTACAAAACAGTGTTATTTTAGACATAGTCTGGAGTATATTGTCAAGGGTACTCTTTTCTGTGTTTGCTATATTCTAATAAATTCTGTTCATGAAAATTGTTTATGTTAGATATTTGTAATCAGCTTTGTTGTTCCAGTTATCCAGTATGGGTTTGTGACCATATTTGTGGCTGCCTTTCCATTGGCCCCATTGTTTGCCCTCATTAACAACATCATTGAGATACGACTAGATGCCTTCAAGTTTGTGTGTGAATGGAGACGTCCTCCTGCCATGAAGGCACAGGATATTGGTATGTGGAATTGTACTCACTGAAATACGAGAGGAAATAGTAGAACATGAAATAGTACAACATGCAAAATTTTGAATGCACAAAAAGCATTTTGCAATGTTAATTCAGTATATATTCAGAAATTCAGTATTTTTGTCCAACCTACCTACACCTTACATATTTGATTGCTTTGTCTGATTCACAATAGTTCATTTTTACATATTTTTTATTTCAGGTATATGGTTTGGAATACTCCAGGGTATCACATTCATAGCTGTCATAACAAATGTGAGTACATAACATTCATTAATGACTCTCACATCATCTTTGTCAAATTTTACTCCTTATGCATTGTGTGCAATGATTTAGGGAACTTGATGGACATTTATAAAGTGTCTTGTGTGCCAACCTATACTGTCAAATAACACCATATGGGTCTGTCCGAGCTGACAAAATTTTTTGGAACTCACATAGTTAATATACAGGGTGCAGAATGCTATTTTCCAATACATGCTGAAAAAAGAAGCTGGTCCAGGTCATGTGTGTCTAGACATATTCTTATGTAGCACACTGTCCATAAGTGAACAGGAAAAACAAGCAGATGCTGCACTTATTTTACTGAAAATTTGAAAATTACCATGCCACTCAGTTGAAAATCTGTATTATATATATATTAAGAGTGAAATTTCCATGAGAAAAATTCTGGGAAAATGACTGAATACAATCTCCTACACCAAACATAGAGACAACAAATTTAGTAAAATAACTTATGAATTACCTCAAATTGTGGGACATTTGGGATGTTGTGTATCACAGTGAATGACATTTACAAACTGAGTAACAGTTATGTTATATACATTTTCAGGCTTTTATCATCGCTTATACATCAGATTTCATCCCAAAAATGGTATACCGCTTCTCCCCCAATGATGGCCACCAAGATCTTACTGGGTACATGCGATGGACTCTCAGTAAATTTGACGTGAATGACTTTGAGAATTCTAGCAGACCAGATCCCAACCACGACTCAGCTAGGTCACCTGAATTTAATAACACCATTGTTACAGAGTGCAGGTAAATAGCATGTTTTTTATTTACTCTTGTGCATGTGCCATATTATCATTGTCGCCTGCGTGGTTTTTATCGTAAATATGCAATCTGATTGGTTGGAGGTACCTACCCATAGTGGAACAGGAGCTTAACATTTTATGAAGTAAGGCTTTCCATGGTCTCATAATTGTACAAAAACATAATTTCCTAACTGTATTGTTCCTTATTTACATTTATCAAAATATTACATATTGTCACCATGGTAATGAGCATTGGACTTGGCATTAAGAAATTTGCATTCTTTTTAGCAGCAGATATATTATGATTTTTAATATCCCACTCAATATTTATTTCATTTGAGGTTAATGCCTGTGATATATTTTGTTTTCAGTTATCGAGACTTTAGGAATCCTCCAGGTATCGACCCCAAGTATGAACACACTCTGACATACTGGTATATCTTTGCAGCTCGGCTGGCATTTGTCATAGTTTTTGAAGTAAGTAAAGAAATTTGATTGGTTTAGCCCATATTAAAAACAGAACAAATACTTTTGGACCTTTGAACTCTTCACGTCGTTGAATATCCTAGAATAAATTCTTTGAATAACTTCATCATGTGCAATATTTATTTTTCAATTCAAAATCAAAATCATTTTTGACCAAATCAATCGATATTTTTTCAGCACGCAATCTTCCTGTTAACATGGGTCATCGGGTACATGATCCCAGATATCCCAGCTGACGTACACCTGATGATGCTACGAGAAAACTACCTAGCCAAGGAGGCCATCTATACCACAGAAAAGGATAAGAGCAAAGAAGAGCGGGAAAGACTGAAGAATGATGTGCATAAACAAGACTAATGTACCCCATGTGGGTAGTTTCATTAAGTTTTGGTAAATCAGGAATTTTTAGGATTTCACCTCATGATGAAAACAATGCCCTAGCTATTTATACCATAGAGAAAGATAAGATCGACGAAGGGCAGGGAAATGCTAAAAATGATGTATATATTGCATACGTGTACAAAGAAGACCATTTGTTCATTATGAGGAATTCAATTGTCATATCTTGTCAATCAAAATTTTCTCATTTTTATACTCTGGTATTGTGGAAACATATGTCATGTTTAAGGAGTATATCTTAAGTGTTAAGTGTAAAGTTCATGAAATAATTAGTTGAGAGATCAACAAGGTAGTGTTGTGATATGCTTATTTAGGAACAATTTTTTAGTAAGAGATATCTGTAGTTGGGAGAGAACACCTGTTGATTTGTTAGTGCATGATCTAATTATCTGGGAGCTTGAGCTCTCAGCTAATCTTTCTTCTTATACAGGAGAAAGACATTGTCCTAAAATGCAATATATTTTCATAATTACTAGCCATTTCAGATAAGTATTACACAAATGTAATCTGCATTTTACACTTTTCAAAAGTCATGTTTCATTGAAAAACTAATTTGAACAGTATACCAGGTATATGCCAAATAGCATAGAACAAATACATATACAAATAGATTTTTTGTGAATTGTAAAATATTGTTCCCTTGAAAAGGTGTTTTCTCACTTACAAACTTCGTTGTGTAAATATTTCCCATATTACACTCAAACGATTGAATATATTATTAGATTCTTATGATATTAAGGATAAATATGGTATGACGAATATAGTGCTGCGATATGAATGTAATGTCTACTGCACAAACTATAGCATACTCTGTCTTAGTGAACACCTCTCTCTGTCCCAAATGAACACTATCTCCCAGAACATACTCCATTGACATCTGTAGTGACCACCTATATCTACAGTCTACTGTTTATGGCTCCAAAAGTGTCACTATTCACAGGTTTTACTGTGACGTTGTAAAGATACCAATGTATTTGGTAAGTTGTGTATTATAAGTGTAACATTAAATATTGATATTACTCATGAATATGATGTCATTTTAGTTCATTTTGAATATTTTGTTGTTATTGTTTTCACTAGAGCATTTTTTATGTTAAATGAATGAACTCTCATGAGAAAGGCAAGGTTTGGTATTTTGTATTATTAGTATTTTGTTCTCAGATGATTTGGACAAATTTTGTATTTTTTTAATCGGAAAACAGATACAAATTGTATTCACATTGCCATAGTAATGATACTCATTAGTATAAGCTAAAATAGATTGATATGTGCTTTAATTATGTTTTAGTGAGTTGTTTGAAGATGGTATCAAACAAGTAACTTTAACTTTTAAGGGAGTTAGCTGTCCATGTTTGGATTATTTGTAATTCCGTGTTTTTAAACACACAAAATTATTCAATTTGTTTATAAAAGATGACTTGTTTCATTTCTTTCTTCATGTCTTTCCCTTATTGGCAATTGTGCTTATGATGTATTTATCATAACCATGTTTATGCCAACTGGGAGCAGAGTCTAAAACTTGAGCAGCTAAAAGTCCTTAACTGTCCAACATTGTATCCTATTGGATTTTTGTGTCACCATCAGAAGTGGTGACATATTGTTATAGTTTCCAACTTTTTTGTGGATGGTGTTTGGCATATGGAGTTTGTGAGAGATGATTTTCCATATTTGGAATTGTTTATACCCTATCAAAATGTCAGAAATATATTTACAAATGAATAATTTCTATATAGAAATATATATTTTGTCATTTTGACTGTAGCCTACAGGTTTGATCTAGTTATAACAAACATTTGTAATCTGAATCCTATACATATTGTATCGAATCCTATACATATTGTACTGAATCCTACACATATCGTATCGAATCCTATACATATTGTACTGAATCCTACACATATCGTATCGAATCCTATACATATTGTACTGAATCCTACACATATTGTATCGAATCCTATACATATTGTACTGAATCCTACACATATTGTATCGAATCCTATACATATTGTACTGAATCCTACACATATTGTATCGAATCCCATACATTTTGTACTGATTCTATACATATTGTATCGAATCCTATACATATTGTACTGAATCCTATACATATTGTACTGAATCCTATACATATTGTACTGAATCATATACATATTGTATCGAAGCCTATACATATTGTACTGACTGTACCATGTATGCATGATTGTTTATATATTAAATATTATTTTATGAATATAAGAGTATTTGGAAGATAATGAAAATATTTTTCTTGTTGACTTAACTTTGTCATCACATGTGGCATAGAGGGGTTCTAGATATGGGGTTTATCCCCTGGGGAATAAAGCTCAAACGTGGTTAGAAGTTATAAATCCAGTCTCTTCAGGTTTTCACCAAGTGTAATAATAACATTTTTTTACAAAAGGAATGATAAGAATGAGTCCCTTTTCATCCTTAGAAAAATGTTTTTGTAAAAAAAAGGCTTATTTGCATTGCAATCGACCTCATTAAAAAGGCTCCGTCTCAAAATACTATAATTTTTATATTACACTGTTAAAGTGTTGGACTCCAACATTTTTGTGGATGGTGTTGAGTGGCTGGTGTTTGGCATCTGTTACAGCATTTGGCAGTCAACGTCTGTAACAAATGGCAGGTTGTGACATGTGGGATGTCAATGCCTTGTTGCTTGTTTTAAATTGGTGACAGCCAGTGGAGTAGCCAGGAATCAAAAAGTGACAAGGCACAAGTGACAATTTAACTCAGTCAGAAATATGAACGTGAACTTAAGTTAAACACTATTAAGATAAGACCTTAGTTCGATGATGGCAATCAAAGAACACGATGATAACCCTTATGTGATGAGGTTTTGCACAATTGAATAAAAAATAAATAAAACCGATAAAAGTTATACAATTCATTTACATTTCATTGATATAGGAATATTTCTCCAAATGATTTTAAAAAGTGATGAGGCAAGCACCTAGTCTGCCTCATCCTGGCTACACTACAGACATCTTGCAATTTGCACCGTCAGTAGACTTTGATATACATGTAAACAACTAGAGTAAGTTCACATAATATCAGATTTCATGTTATTTCAAAATATTTTGTTTATTTCTTTTTATGTGCATCTTACATATACTGAGACTTATACAGTTCCTCAAAAGCTAGTTATGTTCAGCACAAAACATCACCAAAAAGGACCTCTTGATATGACCACAATCAACAATTTCTCTGATCTTCTACAGAACTAACTATGAAAAACATAATAAAACGGTAAATCAAATAAACTAGCTCTATATAACACAAATTATAACTTAATAAAGAAACATTGTTTCAGTACATTGGCATGAAAGATTACTGCATTTACACACACCTTAATATCCCACATTATCCTACACTTAGTGTACAATATGTATCATAACATAAAAAAATAAATTTGATATCTATTGGCAAAATAAATAACCGGAGGATCGCCACGATATACTCCGGAAAACCAATATGCGGAGGATATTTTGATGATATACTCGCTTGTTGATTTCCCGCAAAATTGAACTATTTGACATGAAATTTGTTTTTCAATGATATTGAACATTGAGGATACACTACTAGTAAGTGTAGGATAAGAACATCCTATGACTTTTTCAGAATATCATTTTAATCTACTAGGTGATATTGATACATGCACTCGTTCGCTTCGCTCTCTCGTGCAGATATCAATATCACCTCGAAGATAAAAATGATATTCCTCAAAATCATAGGATCATCCTTTAATTATTGAAATATCAATTCAAAAGTTTATTAAAGGGGGAGATTTTATAAGTATAGAGAAGTTGTATAACATGCACTAGAATTGGAACATATCTGAATTCATTTATTTTTCTGTAGAATGTAGAGATATCCAAACATCCATTCCTTAACTTTCCTGACATGACCCAAAGCTATTCATTTGGTCACCAAATTTGATATTCATCCCTTTATCAAATGGTGATAAGAATGAGTACATTTATATACCAATAAGCATTATACTGGAATGTATTTTATACCAAAGGATCAACTTTAATAACTGTTTTCCCAATGCATAATAATCATAATGTACAATGATGGATCATATGAAAATGACATTTTTTCTCACAAAGGTTCAGATGGTTATTTGTGTCCAGTGTTAGTTGTAACTTTAGGGCTGGGGGCTAATGTACTGTTAGAAGGTGGAGTTTGTTCAGGACTCTCTTCTGATACTGCTGCTGTATCAACCAAAGATTTGGCACTGTTTCTACTTGGCAAATGTCCTGGTCTGTTCTTTTCTTGTGTTGACCAAACTGCTTTAGGGGGAGAAGGTGATCGAGATTTATTCTTATCTGATCCCATGGAGCTAAATGAGCCATTTCTATTCAATTCAGAGTCTTTTTCAGGGGCAACCTTTAAGTCCTTCTCAGGTTTAATACTTTTAGATTTGGCTTGAACTGGAGTTTCCTTTTCCTTTGGAAGCTCAAATTCCTCAGTATCACAATCAGATGTTTCTATGACAGCGGGTGCATTGTTAATTGGTGTTAACAGCACTTTAGATGTCTGTTGCCTTGCAGCATCTGCTTTGGAATCAGTGTTACCAGTAGAACCCTTGGCATTCTTATCAGTATTGCCTTTAGTCTTGTTTTTATCCAATGGTGTATCTTTGGTTTTTTTCTTTGAATCACCTTGTATCGGTTCAACTTTGTTTTCTACTAATTTTAACTTAGATGGAGATTTGTGAAGAGTGTCAGGTTTTGATGAATCATTAGTCTCTGATTTGGGATCCAAATTTTTCTGAGAATCTTCTTTGTTATTTGTGTTTTTAGAGTCTGTATTTTTGTCTGATTTAGTTAAATCTTTGGAGTCTTTTCTCACACTATTTTTCTCACTGAGGAGGGAGTCTTCCGTTGGCTCAGAGATTATTGTTATACCAGCCTTGCCAAGTGCCTCCAGAGCAGGCTTGGCATTTCCAGCAGCTTCCTCAGCTTCGGCCTCTTCTTGGGCTTCTTCGAGAGCAACCTGTGCTCGTATCTTTTCCAGAAAATTCCCTGTACCTCCACCTGCCCCAACTCCCATAGGGAACATATCCATGAAACCAACTTTTGGTTTTTCAACAATAACAACCTCCTTTTTAGGACAGCACACACGATATTCCCAAAGTGATGCAGCAATGAATATGACGAGGAATATAAATGCTCCTGATCCTATTCCGATTCCAAACCCTGCCCCAGTAGCTGGAAATATATTTTAAGTACAACATGAACATTTGTTTATATAATGGGGCTTGGGGAAAACTATAAAAAAAGAACAAGGCCTCAAAAACAAGAAAAGAAAATATGAAAAGTTATGAATAAAACCATTAATGTTTATAAAACCTTGTTTTTATATTGTACATGAATAAGAATTTATAAAATATCTACATAAACATGGGTCTACCAAAATAAGATCCAAAACCTGGTAACTTTTGTCAGTGTCATAACCTTACAGAGTGGTCCCAAAGTAGAACATTTTTCTATTATAATCACAATGTTTATTTGCTGTAAAGTTTATAGGTACAGTCCACAATTTGAATGCATTTAGCATGCCACTGTTTGATAGAACCCCATTCACTTAAATATGCAAGTCAATAGAGTATGTACAAGTAAAATGCAAGTTTAATATGCAAGTGACTAAAATATTTCAAAATAAAATGACTCACTTAAAGGAAATGGGATGTTACAATCAACCTCATCACAATGACTTTGTCCACAACCGCAGTCATTGTAGCCATCACAAATGTAAGAGACTGGCACACACTCTTTATTAGCACAACCCCAGCGAAAAGAGGGACAATCTAAAATATAACAAATGCACATTCTACTTATTCATTCATTCATTTTACAATACAGGTCCATGTGTATTTTTACAATATTTTGTACAATATTTTATAAATACTTTTTACAATATTTTTGTACAATATTTTATAAATACTTTTTACAATATTTTTGTACAATATTTTATAAATACTTTTTACAATATTTTACAAATATTTTATTCTACCGAGGCAAATAAGGTTCACCTCTAAATGTTTTCAGCAAGGTATATTCCTGAAGGTCAGACACAACACAAATAGGCCAAAGTCAATAATTATGCATTTAATGGCATCATACTCTTGAGCAGAAATACATCCTTTTACTCCTGGTTTGTGTGTATGACATAGACCAATCAGAAAATGGGAAATATGACAGTCAAATAAAACTCTAATTCTATTTTGAAATGCTGTAGAAATAACATTTTCGAACAAGTCTGATATCAAACAAAATACAAACCTTTGTAAGGCCTTGGTAGCAAAAGTATAGATAAAGTAGTCCGGGGATACATCTCCCAGGAAGCTCTAAATCCAGCACCCCCTGGGCTTGCGCTTGAGCTATAGAATTTCATCCACAGGTATTTATCGTTAGACGATATTAGATATTCAGAAGAATTTTGATTATTGCACGAATGATATAGCAGTGTGGAAGTCGATGATCCATTTCTAACCTGGAATAATATTTTAAATACTGTTATGTAGTGACATTAACAACAAGGTATTAACATGCAAAATGTCACCACCTGCCATTTGTTACAGATGCCAAATGCCAGATACCGAATGACAAACACTGTCCACAAATAAATTGGTGGTGACGTCATAATAAGGTCAGTTATGGATTGCGCCATCATTGTGTTTTACACTGTAAACCCACTGTCACTACATTGGAAGGAGGCATACAGATAGTATTGTTTTCTTTATATTTGCATAAGATTTCCAGAACGTCTTTCATTGATTAAAAGGAGTATATAACTCTACAAATAGATGTATTGAAAACAAGAAAATTCACAATGTAATGTCCTTTAACTCCTATAAGTCTGCTATAAAGTATCGTTTCTCTTGTCTGTTGCATCCAAAATGCATGTTATTGAAAAGTAGTCTAGTCTGAAAATGATCTAGGCTGGTAATAGCACAAATATTTCTCAATATCAAAATCTTTTGAATTGATAATTATCATCCTTGTCAATTATTCCTTCAATAATAATATTAATACTAAACTAATGTTGAATCAGATCTTTTTATTTTCAAGAAACATAAGTTATTCTAGTGTGGGCCATTCGAATGTGGAAATAAATAAGTATTGCATGTCCATACCTCTACATAATCGTTACATGTCCCACCCGTATCACCAACGGTTGCCATGGAGATTGTATGTATTGTTAAGTTGACATGGTAATCCCTTTCAGCCTCCCACATCCAGACACAGTGTGATCGACTGGCATAGTTGCTAGGGTAACCAGGCGATGTGATATTTCCTGAAAGTTCTTGATTCCAGGTACTTGTTTCCCTGCCATTAAAGTAGCCTCCACAACCTATGAAATAGCAATTAAAACTTCACAATTTATATTTTTTAAAAAAATGTAAAAAATTGACATACATAACTTAGCAAACTTAACATAAATCATCATTCATTTTCAGTTTAATGCTTTTACCATTTGTAGTTAGACTGAGAAGCCATTAGGAAGTCTTATCTAATTAAATGCAATTTCTAAGAGAAAAAGTCACAATAGTTCAAGTTAACTAGCTAAAGTAATCAGTTACCTGTATAGTTCTCTGCTTTAGCTTTTGAGAATATCAGAACACAACAACCTGGAAATATAAACAATATGATTTCAAAAGTGCTAAATCATACTGATTTTAATTTTATTGGTCAAAATGAAATTATGTAGCAGCATAAAATTCTACAAAACTGCATGTTAAAAATTAGGATTTGCTCAATAATATTGATGGAAATAACATTGTGGATCAATTAAATTACATATTTTCCAAGAGAGCTACAAAATCCTGGCAATATATAATTTAAAGGGGCTCCAAAAGATGGACACAACAATTTTTCAATACCTCATCTATTTTGTTCACAAGATTTTTTATACATGTATGTCTATTTTCTGAAAAGAAGTTCTGGCTTTAACTACATGTTATATGAAAAATTATTTGATTTTAAGGTAACTTTGAAGTGTTTCTGAAATAATCTTTTTTTAATTCTAAAGAATTTCAGTTTTGGATTGAAAAATTATTCTGGAGGTCTATTGGGATTGTTTTATAATGAGCTAATGTTGCCCTTTGTGCTTTCCCAAAATATGTTTACAGAAAATATGACTGTTAATAATATTATGTTGGTTGCTACTGTTAATTCTGTGATAAGAGGATTTCAAAGTCCTGCTTCAATACAGTAATATTTTAAAAGATTTCATATATTAGACTTGCTTTGTAAGACTCAATAATCTAATCGGTTTATCCAAGGCTGGGCATACTCTTTCAGAATGTATTGATCCTGTATTTTCCACTACATGTTTGAAATAATAATTTCATAAGATTATTTCATTTCATAAGATTAGTCACTTTATGCCTGTTTTTGTTGTGTAAATTAGTAGGTGGGTATATCTTCCACTAAGGTATCTAAGCCTGAAACATAAGCTGATTTAATCATTTGAACGTTCCATACTGTGTTGAAGAGAGTTTGAAGAGTGAACTTTATTTACTTGTTGAACTGATATGGCCCATTATTATAAGCAAGTTTCATTTTATTGCCAGGAAGAAACCAAACATGTCAGATTAAACCAATATTTTAAATACTCAACTGATTCCAAATGGAGAATCGACTAGGCGCATGGTAATTCTCAAATGGGCGCATGAGAATATTCAACTAGGCGCATGGTAATTCTCAAATGGGTGCTTGAGAATATTCAACTAGGCGCATGGTAATTCTCAAATGGGTGCTTGGGAATATTCAACTAGGCGCATGGCAATTCTCAAATGGGTGCTTGGGAATATTCAACTAGGTGCATGGTAATTCTCAAATGGGTGCATGAGAATATTCAAATGGGTGCATGGAAATTCTCAAATGGATGCTTGAGAATATTCAAATGGGTGCATGGTAATTCTCAAATGGGTGCTTGAGAATATTCAAATGGGTGCATGGTAATTCTCAAATGGGTGCTTGAGAATATTCAAATGGGTGCATGGTAATTCTCAAATGGGTGCTTGGGAATATTCAACTAGGCGCATGGCAATTCTCAAATGGGTGCTTGGGAATATTCAACTAGGTGCATGGTAATTCTCAAATGGGTGCATGAGAATATTCAAATGGGTGCATGGAAATTCTCAAATGGATGCTTGAAAATATTCAAATGGGTGCATGGTAATTCTCAAATGGGTGCTTGAGAATATTCAAATGGGTGCATGGTAATTCTCAAATGGGTGCTTAAGAATATTCAAATGGGTGCATGGTAATTCTCAAATGGGTGCATGAATTTAACCAACTAGGTGCACAATACAAACAATTTCAGCTGGGTTCAATTTAATTCCATCGTATGAACATTCTAAAATGTTGGCCTTTATAGTGTGTAATATTATAATATAAACTAGGTTTCATAATCTAAAGTCAACCTTGAATTGGAGGTAATTTCTACTGCCAAATATCAAGATCCCATAAGGTAAACTCAAGTTAAGCCATTATAATTTTATAGGATATCTGAAAGATGATACCAGATAAATTATATACCAATATACCTGCATTATATATATATGTAACCCAGTCAAATATCACGGTAGGCATTTTTTGAAAATCAAATCACAATAAAGATCAAATCAGCACAGAATATGTTGAACATGCATATTATCAGTATCTTAGTTGCTATACTCTATTCTAATTGGTCAAAGAGTGATCAATAATTTTGACTATTGACCATGCAATACATTGCCAGTTAAGGGTGTATAACAATGACGTCATATGATGCCATTAAGATGAATCAGAAACATTTGAATGTCAAATGTTTGTCTGACAATGGGAAGTGAGGATATTTAAAAATACTTTCAGATTTTCCAGATGTAGCATACATATTTTGCTCATTGGAATATTGGTTGATGTAATCTGATCAGTTTTACTTGCTCTACACCTATATTATCTACATGCCTGAAGCACAAATAAGTAATTTTCCTGAGAATTTTGTTCTCAAACAATGTTAACAAACAATTTTTGGAAAAATTATTTGCACTTGTGTAGAAGCATACAGTGACTTGTGTACAATTCATCCGATTGAATGTTTTACTTTGATTTTACTGCCAAGTGCTCAAACATATATTTTTCGACAATGTTGGTTTAGTCTCCTAAGCAGTCCTTTTACCCAAGTGGCAGTTTATTATACCCCATTGACAACATGAAAGACTTCTTTATAGGAAAATAGAAGATCAATGGGTTTTATCATTATCAAATAGTTTTTTATTACGTTCAATGCAAGGGTAAATAAGACTTGACATTAAGTTTATTATCCTGATTTCTTAGATTTCTTTTTTTCACAATTTCAAAAAATTCAGAAGAACTGTATGATAAGAATGGCTTGATAAAACTGGTAAATTTTGTAAACTCCAAGTGGAAAATCCACAGTTTTAGTGAGTACATGTAGTTAGATTTATATAGAATTTATCAAAATAATTCTCGCATTTACTATTTGATATTCGAACATGACTGTATTCACGCCTTCATTAAACTGTGAACAAAGTCGATGCTTCAGCTGGGTTATATTTAAGATTAGTGCCCCAGCTCTGTACTAGTGTTTCGTTCAGTGCACTCAATGGTCAGTTCAGGCTGTTCCGTTCTTTTCGCAAAATTTAATTTTCATATGGATATCCGCTGTGATTCTTTTGTTTCTGGGCAATATAGAATTAATTTCAATAATTAAACTAGTAGCCCTGCTCTTCGGTCTATATTTCTTAATTTGGTTATATCCTTGAAATGTTTGATACAATGGTAGTACAAATTACAAAACTGAAAAGCAATATTTGAATTACCTTTTCATGCGATATCTCAATTGTATCCCTTCATACAATGAATTTTTCAGAAAACAATAAAAACAAACACTACATGCAATGTTTATGTGTTCAGTGTCAGGGTAACACTTTGAATAGAGGCCTTCCAATGAGTACATTGTCACAATGGTTATATTCTTTTACAAAATAGAGAACAAATGATGGAGTAAGTGAGCAATAAGGGAGAATATCAGTATAGTTGAGACTCTAAACTGTATGGAAATATCATAAAATTCCACCCTTTCTGTAGATTTTGGAGAGAAAAGGTATGAAACTGGAATAGCTCAAGTGCAATTTCATGCATGGGTTTCTCCAGAATCTTCTTTACAAAAGATACACAATGAAGTCTTTCTTTGAATTAAAATAGACCATTGAGAATTGCTTTTTATTATTTACATAATCTTTTTTATAAATGAGGTATGACCAAAAATCAATATTTTACGTAGTTTTGGAACATAAGAAGCTCCATTCGTAGTGCCCAGAGTTTTGGAAACTGATTTCATTTTGGTTGAACTTATTCTGGCTGTTTGAAAAAGAAATTAGTGTGAAAAATTAACAAATATTTTCATTTGACAATGATATTGTTTCTTATGATGCTTTCTATCAATATATATATATAAAGGTCATAGTAGGTCAAGTCCACACTTTCAGACCATTTAGACCACTTATTATTAATGTATGGGTTTTGTAGATGAATCCATTATGTAGAAAGAAGTCCCATATTGCTAGAAAGAAGTAATGCAAGGTCAAGATGTCATTTATAGGTCAAGATCACTCAAACTACAAATACATGGATTTTGTATTTAAAGCTCTGGTCATTCCCAATACTGTACATGTATTCCCAATATATGGGTTTTGAATATTCCCGATATATGGGTTTTGAATATTCCCGATATATCGGTTTTGAACATTACAATATATGGATTTTGAATATTTCTAATATATGGGTTCCCAATATACCAATTATACCATTGTATGGGTTTTGAATATTCTCATTATAAATTATATGGGTTTTGAATATTTCAAATACATTATATGGGTTTTGCATTAAAAACACTGGTCATTTTAATTGTCCGATGATCTAAACTATACGAGGTACATTAGTTGGTAGAACTCATTGATTAAAGGCTGCGATCCTTATATATAATTGTGGTAAAAGTAGAGAAATGATATATTGGCTCACAAGACCCTGATGAATAAAGAAACAGTTTCATATTATATGAATTAATTTGGAAATTGTTGAGATCAAAAACTCCTAGATTTGTGATTAAGCTGATAATGTCATAGAGAGCTATTTGAAACGTTGAGATTTACATTAAAACACTGGTCATTTTAATTGTCCTATTGAGCTATTTGAAACGTTGAGAGAAAAGTGTTACTTCAGTAGAACAGTATCCTCTGAAAAGGATTTGACCATTCGAATTAAGTGTTTTAAATCTTGTAATTGTATTTTTATTTTATCTAAAAAAGGAGACCAAGAATGATGGAAGATAAAATTTTAACCTCAAAAATGTTTAGTTTTTAAAACCTATCCAAAATTGATATGATAACTTGCTGCTCTATCTCTTTGTTAAATCTTCCCTTTAATACCATGAAACAAAAGTGCATAAACAATTTTAGGTTTCACAGCAGATATAGCTTTACAAAAATTAAGTTAAGTATATACTCACATATACATGTTAGGTAACCGGTAGCCATTTTTTCCAGCCAAATCTTTGTTCACATAGTCATCCATAAATTGACGATCATTTTATCTGAATTAACGAAAAACACAATAATTCACTAATAACTCCTAATTCCTTACAAATATCAATCCATGATGATTTTCAAGTTTTAATAGTTAATTGAACTTCTTTAAATTTTTCATACGGACTGTAATAGTGTATGTTGGTTGGTAGCTAAACATGGCGACAATGTTTAACACATATATTCAGCTTCTGTTCTAAACCTATTTAAGCAAGGCAAAGAACACAATAGAGAATAACCCCTGAACAAATAAAGTGGCGGGTAATCCATGCAGTAATAGAAATCTTGCTAAAATACTGCGAGTTAGCATGCATAAAAAAGCATGAAATAGTTCAAACTTTCAAGAAAACTGAAGAATTGTAGGAGATATTAAATATCATAGTTTAAAATTCATTCACAATAAAAAAAAATTGATTATGGATTTTTGAAGAAAATCCAGCTTCTTGGATATACATGTAAGGAACTGTTTCGTCATTTCAATAAATCTAATCAGCTTATCTGAATTGAATGGTTTTTCATTGATAGCTTTCAAGTATATGTTATATTGTGTACCTTAAGGTTTCGGTCTTTCCATTAATCTCAGCATCTCCGCTAAAAACACCTTACCAGCTGAGAAAACAGCTCTTCAAGATTTAGCTTTATTTCCTCTGTCCCATCCTCCGGGGAAATAATCTAAAAAGTATCAAAGTATGTGTATTCATAAATGATGCTTCATATCATCATATCTTAAACCATATCTTCAAATAAACAATATGGCTTTTTGCTTTTCCAGTTTCTAAATCCTAATAATAGTAAACATATAAAGATATATATGTTCTTGAAGTCCTACCTTTCTAGATCAAGAATTAAGAATTGTCTTATTCTACTATACACGTACATGTATATTACACACATATATAAAAAATATTTCATTCTGTTAAGGTGAACACAAAATCAGCTTTTCTTTTGAATATGTTACACAACCCTTTTGGTAAGATATTATGTATCTTTAAGTTTGGAATGATAATAACATATTAGTTGACCTATTTAATTAGCAAGATTGGATTCTTACGAATAAATAATTAATGAAGATGTTTCGTTTAGTTTCAAGCTACCATAGGCAAGATATACTGGATTTTTCCAAACTTCTTATTTGGAAAGGACGGATCAGAACAACATATATACTGTGTATCTGTTTGAACATCCCTTTTTCAAATCTATCGCCTTATTTTTCAGACAAAAAGCCTGAATCATCTTGAAAATGGGCCAAAATCCCACTAATTGTTTCATGTAATTATTTACCCGAGTTTGATGCCAAGTTTCCATAAGAAACACCTGATTATGCAATAATGGATTTTACATCAATTATTTAGCCATGATTATGTGTGATGTCCAAAGATGAGGTTCATTTTTCACAAAATGTATTTTCATATTATTTTATATACACACACAAATTGTACCAGGAGGTAAAATGCTATGTGAATATTTTTAAAAACTTCAACTTTCTTAATGTGCTTTTTCTCTGTTATGTTGTTTTGTATCTATATTGAAAGATTCAACTTGATTGTCACTTTAAATATAATTTTCAAAGCCTCATTATTGTGTGGTTCATTTTATTAGAGGGAGGGGTCCACGGAGAGGGTTTAACCATGATATTAATTTTGTTTCAATTTGTAGACATTTGGACACTACTCCTTATTAGTGTCTACTTAACTCTATATTACAGGTTGAGGGGATCCCCTTGTCCCCTTAGGCTTTAAAGGGAAACTTTTATTTAGATATCAACCACGACCTCCATCAGAGCTGTAAAGGAACATAAAATCACTAAATGATAATCCTAGTTATTGACCTGACCTTTTAGTTGACCTCTTAAAGTGACCTTCAAAGGTAAACTAAATCGTTGTATATTATTGGGGAACCATAATACTATTCTAAATTCCTTTGACCTTTTGGTGACCTTGACCTTTGTGCCCGAGATTGACTTCTCAAGACCTCCTATGGAGATTAAACTTAGAAACATGTCCAAATATTGAACTTTTGATTACCAGTTTCTAAAAGTCCATAATCCACATCTAACTTTAGATATATTTAACACAGGAAGATACATCTTTTTTTGATGTGTTGTTCTTCTCTATATGTATAAACATTGATTTATGGTTCAAAAATATATTAAAGGTCCATGTGCAGTATGGCAAGTGATTTTAGATGGTCATATCTTTCACCATGGGTTCTTCTGGCAATCAATACAGTGGTTTTTATGAAAACAAAATGTTTTCTTTCAAGTCCCCATGATTGTTATGAAAATTATGAATTAGGACCCCACCTTGGTACTTTTTTAAAAATATTAGGCTCATTTTCTGAAAAGAGGATCTTGATTTTCTCAATTTAAACATATTGAAAGTTTCCCCTACACTATATTAACAATTTCTGAAAAGGGGATGCGTATTGATGAGTTAAAGTTAAAAACCACATATCCCACATTATTTTCCCATAGGAAAACTCGTGCGATACATTGTTTTCAGCAGAATTTTTTTCCAAACTAGACTTTCAATACCATTCTACTTTTAGTAGTTTAAGAAGTTTTAGACCCCTTGTTGAAAAATCTTTTCATGCAATAAAAACCAGAAAAAGAAGATCCTCTTTTGAGTAAATAGGTTCAACATTTAAAAAAAAATGTTGACAAGGGGTCCCTATTCATAATTTCTCGAATTGTTCAAATGATATTTTTATCCTCATGAGTACTTCACTTGAAAGAAAACATATTGTTTTAATAAAAAAAAACTGTATTTATGCCCAGTAAGTATTCATGATTAAAGATATGACTTCTCATTTGCTATACTGCACATGGACCTTTCATAAACAATTTTAAATTGTTAAAATTAATACATGAAATAGTATGTCGTGTATCTATGTGATCTGGCAATGTGTTCAAGAAGTCTTTGTTAAAAATAAGTTGTAATATAAACAGAAAGAAAGTTACACAATGAACAGTAGAAAGTCTGTTGAAAACAAGTTTGCTTCAAATCAGGTTATACAGTGCATTTGAAGCATAAAAATCACTAAGGTGACCAATATTGTTTATTTTTGAAATTTGTCCTAAAGGGTAACATGACTGTATAATGAGGAATTCAGAATTTTAATTTTACTTTAGAGGGAAGAAAGCATATTCAAATTATATTATGGATATGCCCCATAATAGGTTGTATATACATGTATTAATATTTCTGGAATTTTCCCTCAAGAAAACAATGAAGGTACCTTGTACAATGCGATTATTACAATGGCACGCAAAATTCAATCATAAATAAGTCGCTTGGATATGCATTATTTCTCAACAAAGCATGTTTAAAACGAACTTTTTTCAACTTTCTTTGGTACATGTATTTTTCCTTTTTGTTCCTAAACCATGCAAATAAGTTTGGAAGGCTAGTTACAAGGACAAACTAAAAGTTTAGGCAAATAGCACTCTAGCCACAAAGTTTAAAAATACCATTTAGAAACTTAACATTTGATTTGTGCTTTTGTGTGACACAGAGGCTATTTCAACAAGATGTTTACCAATTAGCTTCCCTGGAAAAGTACAATTTGCTTTAAGTATTACAAAGAATTGAATTTCACTAAAGGAGAATGTGAACTTTAACGTGTATGCTTAACTGGGGTTTTAAACCCTACCCTATCTACATGTATGAAACAGTTACCTATTGCTTTGATGTTTAAAAATATGTGTATAAATTCAACACATTCTTGTATTGTATCACCCCTCCCCATTTTCTCTCTCACAAAGTGTAACATTTCTTTGAATGTCTATGATATATTTTGTGTAGTAAATTAGAAGCTAGCTATCTGTGAATCAATCAGATTGAATATTATGTACAAGTATCAATAAAACATAAGTAGGCTATATGTTTACATAACTTCATTACATATTTCTATACTAACCATGTTGCATGTTAGATAACCTCGTGTGTGTCAGATAACCATCACAATTAGATCAATTTGTCCCTTATATCATGTGAAATAACCATGGATAACGACTGCTACAAATTTCCCAGTTCAGTTACTAATATGATCCATTCTATAGTTTGACATGTACCCCTTTAATATCTACATCACAAAAATCTGTAACATCCTTATATTCTTAACAGATAAATTTACTTAAGCTAGTACAAATTCTATATTCTATCCCAGTTTGAGCAAATAAAACATATAAGGGCTTAATTGAATGGGATTGCATGTAGACACTGAATGTGACTAGTTTATATTGATTTAGATCCTTGATAAAATATTCATTATTTGCAGTCAAATAATTCAATGTCACATCATGCAGATATGGCAGTGATATAGACGGTCTGTAAGTCTCAAAATTGCCTTCATTTAATATGGTTTTCCATAAACAGACTTACAAGAAGGAGGTGTGGAGAGAAAGGGGACATGGCTCTTATAGATGTCTTCAATTTGAAAGGTCAAAAAGTCAAAAATTAAATAAAAAAGTTCAAAATGTCAAAGTGCTCCATTATCTCAGATTCCCCCATGATATGAATTATTCTAGAAAAATGATATATTTTTGAATTAAATCTGTTGCCATGGTAACCAATATTGCCTACAATCTGATGATGTCAACAGAGGAAAAATTTGAATGATGATTACTTCAGTCAAGTATTGCAAATTGGTATTCAAATTGCACCAAATGTTACAAGAGATTAAACATTGGTCACTAAAGAGGGAGTTGTAACACTACAGCCAAATTAACACTATATCCCTATTTACGCTATACACAGCATTGCAAAATGGTGTGAATAAGAGCTCTTACAAAAATTCAGGCCAGTTTACACTAACTTTTTCAAGACATCTTACAAAAGATTGTTGAGTACACACATTTTTCCAAGATATTTTGGAGGGTAGAGCTCCATTAAAAATGAAAGGAACATCAGGACAGCACAGACTGAAGGACTGTGACGTCTTAACTCTAAAACATTTTAAGTAAGAGCTCTTACATGTAGGAGTGTAGTGTTAATCCAGCTCAACTAATGACATCTATAAATATTGGAAGAAATGTCAAATGTACCATGCCTTTCAACAAAATCAATGTTTACAAAACAGAATTTGTTTATTTCATAAAATGGGTACTCTATTCAGATTTTACATTTAAACACCACCACATTTAAAATAAACAATTGAAAATTCTCTATCAATATTTCATAATTTCAGATGTCTTGCTTGTGAGTGAAATTACTGAGTGAAATCCTGAAAAATATATGCACGTTAAAATATATGATGTGATTTTTACAATGGTAGAACAAATTAAATCAAACACGATAGTTAAAATTAATTTAAATTATCTTTTTTTTCACTGGATTGATTACATGATGTATGAATAAGTTGCATGCCACTTTCATTATCTGATCTGTAAGCATTTCATGATCACCCAATTGCTCTAAAATACACTTTTAATTAAAACGGAAGGTTTGCTAGAAATGTCCCTGAATAACTTCTGTATTATATTTTTACTGCAGTGTTTTATATTACAATGCATGGCTGAAAATCCAACTTCACAATTGAAAGTTCAACTTCTCAATTATGCCACACTGTCTATTTAAGAAAACAATGAATAAGCATTTGAGATGTTCTTTGAATTCTAAATATACACACATTCTCTGTTAACAAACTGAAACCAAAATGCTCAATTCATTTGTCTTTTTCATTTCAGATGGTTGAAAGTTCATCTTCATAATTGAACTTTCAAGTGATCCTATAGTCCAACCGTTCCTTTTTGATTTATACTAATCCCATCTATTATGAAGCTGTATTATTAAATTGATGTTGATGTATGTCTTTAATTCCATATGGCTTTATATTAAAAAACTACTACACTGGCCTAGCTGCCTTCATTTAATAATCGGAGTCTGAGTCAGATTGGTCCATTTTGCCTTCATTACTTAAAGATCTCTGTTGCATTGATCTAAGAGCCTTTTCACGCAACTGTCTCTCTAATTCATCCATCTTATCATCTCCAGGAGCCTTGTCTCCATCATCACTGCCTTCATCAGCATCCTGGAACCATAACATCAAAATAATAATTAACCATATGGTTTCAACATCGGTTTCACGTAATCATGTGTTTAAACTAGATAACAACAATGCCAAAGAGTAGCAAATCCCACTGAACAGCCGGACTTTGTTCGATGGGATACATTTAAATCATGGTACAAACTAAAATTTACCCAAAATATCACCTTAATTCTGGTTCTCAACCCGGTCGCTTAAAATATGTACTTACCATAGGTTTCCCCTTCTTTTTATGTTTTTTGTGCTTTTTATGTTTCTTTTTCTCTTTCTTTTTCTTTTTCTTAGATTTCTTTCCATCATCTCCAGATGCCTGCAAGAAAATAAAAATAGTAAATGAAAAATACATGCAATAATTCAAAATATCCCATTCACATACGAAGGTCATGTATGTAAGAGACTAGGTCAATATATTGGATTTAAAGTTTTATCTAAAAACATGATTAATTGGATTAATTTCCTAAAATGTATATGTGATTGAACTAATATTGGTTAAAATTAAGTTTACATGTGTGTAATTTCATAATTTTCCTATTACAGATATTGTTACTTACATCTGATCCACTGAATGTAGCTGCCTTCTTTGCCTTTTTCTTTGGCGTACCAATATTGTCAGTATCAAGAGCTTTACGTTTGCTATCACCTGCTGCACCATTGGTCGCACTAGGGAGGTCATCATATAGCGACAACCTGTCCTTGGGAGGAGGACTTCTAGATTCAGACCTCGACCTTGCTCTTTGGGCTGGTGACCTTGACCCCGAGGACTGACGTCTGATGGGTGATCTAGATTTTTTATGTCTTGGAGGTGATCTTGAATCACGACGCTTAGGGGGAGATGATCTTGAATCACGACGCCTAGGGGGAGGTGACCTTGAAGCACGACGTCTAGGGGGCGGTGATCTTGAATCACGACGCTTAGGGGGAGATGATCTTGAATCACGACGCCTAGGAGGAGGTGACCTTGAATCACGACGTCTAGGTGGAGGTGATCTTGAATCACGACGTCTTGGCGGAGATGATCTTGAATCGCGACGTCTTGGCGGAGATGATCTTGAATCGCGACGTCTAGGTGGAGGTGATCTTGTATCGCGACGCCGAGGGGGAGGTGACCTTGATACAGACCTTGGTCTAGGGAATTTATTTGAGCCTCTTGGGGATCTTCCAGGAGAAAACCTACGTCGTGGAGGCCCTGGAGGGGAACTTGGAGATCTCCTGCGTCTAGGTGATGGTGAAGCCATGCGCCTTGGAGATGGTGATGCCCTTCGCCTCTGAGAAGGTGATGACCTGCGCCTTGGAGATTTGCGCCTTGGAGATGGTGATGCCCTGCGCCTTGGAGAAGGTGATGCTCTTCTTCTTGGAGAAGGTGATGCCCTTTGCCTTGGAGATGATGCCCTGCGCCTAGGAGATGGTGACATCCTTCGTTTTGGAGATGGAGAAGATCGCCTCCTTCCCTTTGATATATTTGGAGACCTAGATGATTCACGTCTTTTACGAGAGGGTTGTGAAAGCATAGGTGACTGTTGTCTTTCTGGTGAGGGCGATTCGGAAGGAGGACGTCTCATCTTCGGTTTAGCTCGAGGAGGTGAAGGGGACTCAGAAGCCGAGGAGGATTGACCTCTTGGGGGTGGAGAACCACTACTTGAGCGAGCCCTAACCTTCTGCTTGACAACTCTGGGAGATCCACTTGGCCTTCTGTCAACTTTCCTTATGGGAGACTCTTCCTCTTCACTTGATTCAGAATCAGAGTCTGAAGATTTTTGTTTTGGAGCTATTGGTCTTCTTCCCTTAGGTGGAGGTCTTTCTGGAGATGGAGACTCACTCTCTGACCTTGCCTTGCGACTTTTCAGCTTTCGTGGAGGAGAGACACTCATCGATAAAGATCTGTCCCTCTGGGGGACTTTAGTTGGTTTTCTCACGGGGGAGTCACTCTCTGATCTAGATGCACGTCTTCTGATTGGTGGTTTCCGTACAGGGGATTCACTCTCTGATTTTTCTCTCTGTATTTTCCTTGGCTTCCTTTTCATTGGCCTTGGAGGTGAACCACTTTCAGACCTTGCCTTTGTTTTAATTTTACGCTTTGGAGACCCTGAATACGACCTACGTCCTCTGGATATTTTCCGGGTAGGTGGTGGACCACTTCCTGATCGAGATCTTCGGATAATGATTTTGCGCTTAATTTCTGGAGACCCCTCTGCCTCTGATTCACTTGAATCACTGTCATCAGATGATGTGGGTGGAGAGGGGGCAGGCTTACGTTTAACCTTGGGGGGAGGTGAATCAGAAATGTCACGTTGAGTTTTCCTGAAAATAAGATGTCAAAATGCTTTTTGATTATCGCTGAAATGGTTTTGTTTCCTTTAAAGGATTCTGTATAATCCAATAAATCATGCTTCAACACTTCACATTGTATAGAAATAGTAGAAAAATATGAAGTTCAATCAAATTTTAGATTGACATCAAATGATAAAGCAGTAGTAGCCACAGATTTCATATATACCTGCTTTTGGGCCTTTCAGGGCTGGGGGAGGGACGATTTTTCCTAGAAATGGTCCTTTTTCTTTCAGGAGAAACAGATATGGATGACCGCATTCTACCATAACGTCTTTCAGGTCGTGGACTAGGACTGCGACGTGCTGGTGAACTGCGCCATCTATCTGCTGATGAATCTCGACGACGACGAGGGGATCGGGAGCGTCTCCGTCTGGGAGGTGACCGATATCTAGGTGGTGAACGATACCTAAAACATACATTTTATTTATTTATCAATTGACTTGAGGATGTATCTACAGTAATCAAATTATGCTTCTAAATCATTGCAAATCTCAACATTAATAGCAAGTATCGAGAATTTCTTGTTCAGTATTTCAGAAGTCTGGACAATATTGCTGAATCTGAACCTCTGGTCTGGTATTTTTCAATAACATATGTTTTTATTGTTATATTCATCAGCAGACTCCGAAGGAAGGGCAAATTTTGTATACTCTCACGACAGACCGATAAAGGAGTTTAATGATTAGAAAGTACCTCATTCTGGGTGGACTTCGACGTCTTGGAGGTGAATAGCGTCGTCGTGGTGATATAGAACGCCGTCTTCTGGGTGACCTTGACCTCCGAGGTGATCTAGAACTTCGCCTTTTTGGAGATATTGATTTTGCAGGTTTAGCTAGAAATAAAAAAAATTCAACATAATATTGAAATTGTACTCTATTCTGAAGTAAGCAAGCTGGCCTTTAAATAAACTGCACTTCGTTTTAAATGTTTTAAAACAGAAATGCATTAGCTTTCCCGATGTTACAGCTGAAAACCACAGGAGAGGACTTCAAATAGACAAATTCTTTCCGTTCACTGTAAATCAATATATTTATGATAATTAAAACATAAACAAATAAAATATTCTTAATAATACATCTGACAAAATAGTAAGTTATTTTTGTTGAATAAAACTTTGCTTCGTATAAAATGTCCAATATGAAACATATTCAGCAATATTATTGATTTTTTATTCATAAACTTTATTTTCTTACTTTTCAGCTGCTTGACTGGGGAAATTTCTTCCTCAGATGAAGAACTCGCTGAATCTTCACGTTTTCGATACTGTCTTTTCTTCGGCTTATCCACAGATGAATCTGAGTCACTATCGGAGCCTGACTCAACCTAAATGTACGAAAATGAACATCAATGATACTGTACATCCATGACTTAAACTTAAGGTTGTACTTACATTAAAAAGAAAATAAGGAGATTCCGTGAAGTTTTGACATGACAAAATGTCACCACCTTGTAAATTATTGCAAACTTACAGAATGCTAATTATTACAGATACCAAACTCTTCCACAAACATCTTCCAGAACATCTTCCACAAAAATGTGGGGACTATAACAATATGTCACCTTGTGGTAAAAAGTGAAAACTCTATATTCAATATGGAAAATCCTAGCCTGGTAATCATTATCATTAAAAAAAATGGCATGCTACATACCTTCTTGGTAGGCTTAGGTTTGGGTGACATTGAGCCACTACTGGACCTAGATCCATGCCTCTTCCTAAAAAATGTGTTTAAATATGAAAATGTGTTTTGAAAAATAGTGCACAGAATGCATATTGATCGAAGCAATATAATTGATCTGAGAGCTGGAAAATAATCATACATCTCTTAACTATACCTATTATTCTTTGGATATAATTTCAATCATATATGAATTTTATTATGGCATTTACAGTTACTTCTAAAAAATTTTTAAACAATGTATGTTGAGCATTTTCAACTCACTTTGTCTTCTTGGGGCTCGAATCACGACGACTTCTTTTTGGGGATCTGCTGCGTCGCCTTGGTGATAGTGACCTACGTCGTGGTGAAAACCTTCTCCTAGGTGATGGGGAGCGACGCCGTCTCGGACTTCTTGATCTTCTTCTAGGTGATGAATCTCTTCTTCGCCTGGGAGATCTAGATCGTCTCCTGGGGGATCTGGACCTTCGTCTCGGAGATCTACGCTTTGATCTTGGGGATCGAGACCTGGACCTTCTTGAATGTTTTCTAGGTGACTTTGATCGTTTGCGTCTATGCTTAGGACTATGGGACCGACTAAAATAAGAAAGATAATTCAATCCATATAAACTCATAACTTCTGTAATATGTATGTTGAGCCAACAGGAAGTTAAAATATACATCATTGACTTAACTTGAGGATATCATCATATCATGATGGGAATAGATACAAAATCCTCATTATCTCAAAAGAACTCAATTTGACAGTCTCAACAAGTAGATTCACATGGGATAATATTGATAAAATCAAAAAATGAAAACTTAATGGAGAGCCTTTTCATTTTTGTTTGGTACTAATGAGGTAAAATCGCATGAGGTTAAGTTAGACAGAGTTCACAGTTGTATATTGAATGACTTTTATGACTAATTAACTGAAGTATTTAAAAACAACTTTTTTCATTCTGTTATGATATAGGCAAATAATTCTCAACTCTGCCTGTATCCAAAGCTTTGATTTTAAACATTTTCATTGAATGTTTTTATTGATAATTTCTTAATCATTATTTTACATATCTTTATCTACCTTGATTTTCTTCGTTTTCTCTCAGGAGACTTAGATTTTGCTGCCACTTGTTTCTTGTCAACGTCATCCTTAATCTGTCCATCTTCCTCCTCGGAGTCAGAATCCTTTGTCTCCTTCTTAGCATCTTTGTTGTCTGTCTCACCATTCTGCACTGGCTCACTGGAAGCTCTAAATGTGAATTCAGAATTATTAGCCTAAATAGATTACACAGTTTTCTCTTTAGGATTTGAAAAAGTCCTCTTTTCAGATTCATCGGATTGGGCAGAAAATCCTCAGAATGTGGTAAATGTACAGGTGGACTAGTTAACAACTAAAGAAGGATAAAATAATTATTCCAAAAAATTGATTTAACATTTATTGTTGAATATCTTGAGAAAATAATTTTTTCTACTTACATCACATCAGCGTTAGTCGCAGAAGAATTCTGACCCTCTGGTTTCGTCGCCTCTGCTGGGGTTGCACTAGGTGACCTTGACCTTGATCGTGATGACCATTTACTACGTCTTTCTTTAGGGGTTGGCTCACGTTGGGCAGGAGTTTGATCTTTCTTTGGGGAGGGGTCTCGCTTTGGAGAGGGTGACTTAGATCTTGAGGGCCTCAGCCTCGGGGACTTTGACGCACTTTTATCTCGGAATCGTCTACGTCTGCCATCACGATCACGGGAATGGGATCTACGCCTAAAACAAATACACCTTTATTCATAACATTTCTTTCCTTTTTCAGCTCATTACATTTTTGGGGAAACAATGCAGTCTGTTACCGAATATGACTGAAACCCAACTTACCTATCATGTCGCTCTTCTGTTTTCTTTCTCTCCTCCTTCAAGGCTCTGTTTATCTCTTCCTCCTTCTTCTTCAAACTCGCCTGGATTCTTTCCTGCTCAGCCTGCAAATGAAAATAAGATTGGAATTGATTCAAAATGCAGAGTATGATGAAAGAACAATCCAAATATATTTTAATAGCGTAGAAATATTAGAAAAGTATTCGCTGGAGTAAAAACCATGTTTAGAGTAAACATTACCACACTGACCAACGTTGAGAAAAAGTTGGATATCAATAGATATGACTTCAAAATGCTCAAATTCCAAAATAATTCACTTTAAGCCAAATATATTTGATTTTTTCGTACATACCTGTCTCTTTTTTATCTCCTCTTTTTTCTGCTCGACAAATTTTGCTGGAATTCCCCCAATATTTTCCATAGCGCTGACGAGCAGTTCCCATAATTCCCCGATAAATTGACGAGCATTTTTAGCATTCAAGAATCCAGTGAGGTTTATCTGCATATCCCGGGAATCTGGGTGCTGTAACAGAAGGTGGGAAGACAACCGTTCAATAACACAGACAGATAATAATTAATCGGCTCTTACGTTTAATTTACTTACTAATACTCAACACTACATAATTCAGCTATAAATTGCCAATACTCTAATTCCTCTTTACCTATCACCTTTTGCAGAAATACTGTATATGCTACTCAATTAATAAATGTAAGATTCCCTAACTGTAACATACAGTGGGTCTAAGACTAGAAACAATATTAAAGTGCATAGTTGTAGTGATTGCAGTTTCAGCCCTTAATATTATTTAGCTTTCCAAATCCTCCAAAATTTGATTTCTGTCTTCTTTCTTAATTCTTAATATTCTTTTGTTGAATTCATCATTTCCCAAGACGAGGGGACTATTTCAACCAACATTTCTCTTGAGCGGCCATCTTGAAAATGCTGCTTCCTGATTGGTGAATCCTATCCTGGTTTGCTTTCCTTGTGAAAGGTGGCACTAGTAGTACTACCCAAACACGCCCTACAATACAAACCAATAGATATTAACAACTGAGACTTGATAATCCATTTTAAGAGATCTAACAAAATCATTTTAACCTGTTTGACTAAAAATATCTTGGTTTTGAATTCCAAAAGTGATAAAAGTTTATATTTAGTAGTACCAAATCTACAGAGCAAAATTCAGTATTTGAAATCTTTTTTACGTCATGTTGTCAATTTTCTGAAAATCCAAAATATTCATATCTTAATCCTAGAAATTCCAGAGGTTTTAATATTTTTGTCCTCACTATATAAAAGAAATGTTGATATTCACATTTGCAACATGACAGCCTTCCATAGATATTTTTGAGATATCATATGTTGAAAATATTGGTTGGAAAATGTTAAACAGAGCTTGTAATTTTGTCACTTTAGATCCTATATCAATTCTAACTTAAAGACCAGCCGAAAACAATGGCATATCAAATGGCACAACAATGGCACATAAGAGATGACTGTAGTATGTTTATTCTATACATATAAGATAATCAGGATTTGAAAATGGTTTTATTATATCTCTACTTATACCCAAGGTGTCCATTTTGGAACAGTCACACCTTACAATTCAGTCTCAAGTCATTGTATGTAAGTATTGATCTAAAGTAGACATTTTTTAACATTTGTAAGTCAAAATCATACCAAAATGGACCCCTGAGTCCTACAATGTCTCTTTCTTCTTTTTTCAAATATTCTTTTGAATGCAAACACTTTTCTATGGTTTTAATCTCAAATGATGTCAAAAACAAAAACAAAAAAACATGCTTGTTTCATTTGAGAATGTATGTAACTTTTTGGAATTTTAGATTTTTAACATTATATTTCATGTTTCGAAGCAAAGTTGTGACAAAGTAATACAATACAAAACTTTCCAAACCTGCATTTTTCCTTTATATGTTCAATGTCTTACAACATGTTTAAGGAACAGTGAATCCTTAAGTCTGTTAAAAACAGAAATCTCCACTCGTGATATATAAAACTCATGATGCTATGACAGAAATTATTTTGCATTTTCTTGTGAATCAGGTAAATGACAAAAAATCTAATTTTTTAAACTGCGAAAACACACACAGTGGTATTGTTTTAAAATTACAGATCACCTTTGTTTATCAATAACCACTCTATGCTGTAAATAATTGATTTTTGGGGTTGTAAGGTTTCAAGATTCTAAATATTCATAAATCATAGAAAAATACCAACCATTTCTCCAGATTTTATACAGCAACTCAGCTCATCAGTAAATATGACATGACAAATCAGAACTTTGGTAGTATTCAGCCCTGTCCTGCTGTGCGTCTTAAGTTTGCACGGGGTCGTATTTTAACTTTCTGATTTGGAATGGAAAACGGTAAAATATAAGTAAAGACTCATTGTGTTCCTATTGTCAAATGAATGAAGGAATAGAGTCAATATATTCCTAGTTTTCAATTGTAATAAATTCCTGTTTTCATTGTTAATATGTAGTTTATAGTTTAAAAGCCTGAAAGAGAACTTCTCATTTATTTAAATCAAGTCCCTGAAAAAAATTCTGGAAAATAAATCCTTAAAATGTTCTCCCTTCTTTGTTGAACATGCAGTCACTGTAAATAAAAGTTAAACTATCACTACTATATATAGGTAAACCAACAGATACCACCCAATCATCAAATTCAAAATACTGAATTTGATATCGAAAAGATTTTGAGTTTTTTTGCAGCGGTTATTTCATTTCATTGACAACATTAAAAGTACTATTTTTGATTATCTACATTGATTCATTCTCAAACCCCGATAACTTGAACCATCAACACGTTCAAATGTGTCAAAATTATTATCAGGTATGAAGGAATTTTACATTGAGAAGCCCTGTTAACATTGGGTATGGTTACCCTTAACATAATTTTGTGGATTTGTGTCGACTCATCACACATTAGGCTCTTCAATTGTGATGAGTAGGGGTGAGACGACAACCCGATGAGTCAAGGACACGCGGGTTTGGGGCTTCGAGTCGAGTCGAATCGAGTCGAAGTTGATGAATCGAATCATTTTCGAGTTGAGAAAAAAATTCGAAAAAATCTGTCAATATGCATGTTTTTACTCGATATTGCGTTGAATATATAAGTTTCAATGACTTGGATATGCTTGTATTAAATTATTATATTGTATGTACACATAAATGAAAGAATATATGTAATAAAATCAGAATAAACTTACGACGAATTGTGTTTGTTTATATTTCCGGCTTTCCACCATTGACGCATTAAAAATACGAACGGTCAAAAGCGATGTTGTTCGCACTTCCCGCGTTTCGAAACGGATTCGAAACTCGAATCGTCATTTTCTGACTCGAATCAGATTCGACTCGAATCGGATTTTTTCGACTCGTCTCACCCCTAGTGATGAGTAATGTATTTTTGAGAATTTATGGTCAAATAGCTCACTGAACAATAAACAATGTGCATTCTTACTTAAGAGTGAAGTAGTTTGAAATATTTTGACACAAGTGACTTCTCACCTTTTAACAGATCATGCAACCACAAAATTTACCCCCTCCCTACCAGTACCAACAACTAGCTCTGTTACAAAATACCGGAAATGAATCTACACAATTAGAATTTAAATATAGTATTTAATTCAGATATAAAGATGTAAATACTAGTATCTTTAATACATCTACAAAATAAGCATTAACTTTGCATTATTTTTGTAATAACAAAGTTAACCAGAATTTATGAAAATAGTCTCGCATCAGGTTCCTGTTAACCCTCACTATCTATATCCAAACCAGTATTTGAAATTGAGAGGGAAAATACAGGTGCCTGATGCAAGACTATATGATTGTTTTCAATACACATTGTCAATTTTGTGCACTCACTCAGTGTTTTACATGTGAACAAGACCTACCCTTTCTTCTAATTGATTATAGATGAACTCGATAAGGACATCATCTTCAATCCCAAGGAACTCTGTGATTCGCTTGTTAATCCAAGGTTTAATGGTGTCCAGGTTAACCTTAGACATGTCAATCTGAAACAAAACAATATGGCTCATTCAAACAATCTCTTACAACATTATCATTCCTTGACTTCTTCTAAGTGAACATTGAAAATTTGAACGCCTTATTTTATCTTCTACATAATGCATTTTGAGAAGTTTTCAAATTGTGAATACTGAAAATAAATGAACAACTATTTTTAAGTTAAAAAACAGTGAACACCTACTTATGGTAAAAAAGTAAATACGAAATAACCGTTTTCTGATTTTAAATAATTTGGCTATTATTCTGTCACATGACATTGTGAATAGAATATAAAATAAAATGCACTTAAAGGTGAAGAATATTTCTGATTACCTTCTTATCTGTGCCATCTGCAAATCTCATAGATTTCATCAACTTCTTTTTCTTGTCTGTAAATCTATTGTCCTGGTCGGCAGTTGTACCCTGAGTAGAATAAATAGAAATAAATAGAAATGTTTCAGTAGTTATTATATTAATATACTATATTTACAGAGATATTTTGAATATAATCACTGATGTTCAGCCTTGATATTTATAATGAAGGATATATAGGTGTAAAATTCTTGATTGTTGATTCTTGATCTTTTTCACACTGCCAAACAATGTAAAATGATGAAGACAAATGAAAATGAAAAATGTGAAATTCAATCAATAAAAGATAGCATTTTTTAAGGTATAAGAATTTATGATTTATTTCTCAATGTGAGATCTTAAGTAAAGGTTCATATTAAAATATCCTAATTTACACTCCGCTTTTTTAAAAATCAAAACAGATACAAACACATATCAAATGCTTTGGAAATTTCTGTTTGTTGTTAAGAGGCCGCGCTATATTTTCTAGTGTAATGACAAGTTGGGTTTTGCATGAGTGCTTTGATAGTCATCAGTAGACAGCAACTAGCCTGCACTATTATTGACATAGACAACGCTGGCCTCAGATGATGAATATTACGACACATACTTAGAGTTAGACTACAGGTTTGTAAGATTATGGATCATCATCATCCAACTGAAGTGAAAACTGGTGTCAGTTTTACTGCGGATCAATACCATACCATAATCAAATAAAGGGATTTTGTTTCACGTCCACGAATTTATACACTGGAATACAACATAGACTTGTAAATTGTTCATCGAGTGAAAGTTTTTTAGACCTATTTCCAATATGGCGGTTTGCTAGGTCCAAGATACGCAACGAACGAAATGAATTTTGAGACTTAGTTAGGTTCGGACAACCTCCGGAGATTTACGAAAATGTCCGAGCAGAAACCGCCATATTGGAATTTGGCAGTAAAACGATTCACTCGACTCGACTCTTGATCGAAAAAGAAGTACTCCAGCGCTCCAATACTTACACGGATTGATGATACTGATGTAAGACACAGTTAGAGACCAAAAGTAAGCCGCGGATCGACTTAATTCGATTTCAAAGGTCACAATCATTCAGCTGTCCAAATGCTCCGTGGGAAAGCTATTATATCAAAATCCAAATAGCTTTCGCAGGAAGTAACGTTACACCCCTTTGCCCTTACCTTATTCTTCTATTACATGCGGGCAAGATCAGACTGGGCTAATATAACAACATAGTTTTGGTGCTTGATAAAGCCCTCTTATGGTACATGGTCAACGACATGTAAAAGTTCAATTTAATAGGTACAATTTTATAAAACTTGATTTACAATTTCTTCCTTTTCCTTTTCATTTTTTTTATCAGATTATTCTTTGTAAATTTTAGGGAATGTGATTCTGAAAATATGTGCGGTTCAATTCTGGCAAATAGCATATCAATTTGTCGTAGGTTTAATGAGGAATCAAAATAATAGTTTTTCGATAACGCTAATAGGTGGTAGAGAGAGAAATAATGCATTTACTTTACCTTGAAAAAGCCAGCATCACTCATGGCGGCTGTTCTCGTCTTCTACACTCACTTCTCGCGAGAACTTGTGGTGATTGCGCATGCGCACTAAATTATTTGGATTATTTCTCAAAATATTAATTTTTCACATAAAATGTCGAATAACTGAGGATACAGAAATGTGACCGTCATGAAAGTGTGGAATTTGTTAGGATACGTATTTTTCTTTGAAGAGACGAAATTTTAATGGCAAAGGAAACCCAGATGCTAGTAAATTTTGGGACTATATTTTGGGCATGACCAAAAATCTTTCTGTTTCCTATTCACCTGTAGCGACAGACTCACCAACTAGAATATCTGAACAAAATTTTCATACAGAAATGCCCAAAATGACTCGGAAATGGGAGGTATTCCCAGGACGCAACAAATTCTGTTGCAATGGATATATTATGATGGCACGTCAAGCAGGGATATTCTACTTCACATGCGTTTTGATAATCGTCACAAGTGGTCTTTTCTTTGCATTTGAGTAAGTATATTTTAATTTTTTGCTTTGATATTACAATAAAGTGTCTGATCCGAAATCTATTCTTCTTATCCAGGATTATAGTCTTCAACTGTTATATTGAACCATTATTGATTAAAATTTGATTGTTATGGGGTACTTCCTGCGAAAGCTATGTGGATTTTGATAAAATAGCTTTCCCACAGACAGCTAAATAATAGTGACCTTAAAACATAAATAATGAGATCCACGGCTTACTTTTGTTCTCTAATTATGTCATACATCATTATCATCCTTCTGTGCAAGTATTGGAGCGCTGAAATACTTCTTTTTCGATCAAGACTTGTAAATTGTTCATCGAGTGAATGTTTTTTCGACCCATTTCCAATATGGCAGTTTACTAGGAGAAATCTGGAGATTTACGAAAATGTCCGAGCAGAAAACACCATATTGGAATTTGGCAGAAAAAACATTCACTCGACTAACAATTACAAGTCTTGATCAAAAAGGAAGTATTTCAGTGCTCCAATACTTGCACGGAAGGATGATAATGATGTATGACATAGTTAGAGAACAAAAGTAGGCAGCTGATCGACTTAATTCGTGTTTAAAAGGTCACTATTATTCAGCTGTCCATTTCTCTGTGGAGAGCCATAAGTTTCTAAATCTAACATGGCTCTCAAAGTAAGTTATGGGCACATACAGTGCTGATACAAATTAATTGATAAGTCTTATAGTTGGCATATTTTCTTGAGTTTTAACATTAAATGTCCCAAACTCCAACAAACCACAGAAAAGTATACACCGTAAATCATATTTACCAAAATGAGTGTCTCTAAGGCTTCATACCAGTGTATGCATAATGCATTTGTCGCAATATGTCACTCTGATTGCTGAATTTGCCTATTAGTATTGAGTGTAAGAATCACCTATTGAAATTAATTACAGCATCATATTGAAACCCATTCACATTCAATATAAACATTGATTGAGAATACATACAATAGATCACACTGGCTTCAGTATTGCAGATAAGACCTAGACAATTGACTAGTGGCATATCTAAATTCTTTTATCTAGAGTGTTAATTGCGAGTGAATATTTTACTCAGCTTTATTGTGAATCGGGTTGAGAGTATGACTGATATACTACCTTACAAATGCAAGGCTCTGTATATCACCCACTCTGTTCCTTCTTTCATGGGCAAATATAGGATGTCTCGAATCCTGCATTTGTAGGAGGTATTTTGTCCTGATTCAACAGAGTGCAGTATAGGCTATGATTTATCTTTGCTACATATGATTACAAGCAATTAGCAGATATTTATCAATGAATGAAGTACAGTGGTTTAGCTATATTTGACAATATGCTACTTGGATTACCAATATATGAATCAAACTAATGTAATATGACAATACAGATGTAACTTAATTGTTTTCGCTCAAAGATTTCTCAAAACATATCAAACCATCTGAATTTCCTACCATCATCAATATTTTTACCATATGACACTCTAGATAATCGCCTTCTATGGATTTTGTAAATTTTTCAGATTTTCCCAATTTTCAACTGGATGAGTGTTATTTGGGTGTTTGATACTCTGTTTTGTTGCTTTTAATCATTAAAGATCAATGTTTGCTTTTATGAGATTTATGTTTGTTAGGTATTTTTCTGACCAATGCTTCAAGAGAGGGATCTAGATTTGTGCAGTTTGTTTTCACTGCAATTTGCTTCACAGATCCCACACTGATCTTAGACTAGAATATTCATTAGATATGAAGACAAATTACCTTTGGGAATTTAAACCAATGTCTGATTGTTATGTGGCTGCGTTAATGACTCGTTTTCAGTTCTATCAGATATTTCACTATAGTGATTAAAATTTGATATCTTAACCATGGTCTCCAAAGTGTGGTACGCAGATGAATATTTGAAATATCTGTGCACTCAGTTGTAATAATCTGTTCACACCTTGTTGAGAATTAGAAAACAATGGTACCTGTTAGTGTTATACAGCAGGGTTGAATTGCTTCATTATATGCTGTTTGTTGAAATGCTTCATAACATAGCAATTATACCTGCTGTTTACAGTTACTCTTACCAAAGAAAATATTTTCGCCAATTTTCAGCGTTTTTTAGAATTTTTCTTCATGACATCAGAATTTTGCAACCATACCAATCCTTGAAATAGTTTGGAAAGAAGCCTACTTTATGTGATATGAAGATTACCCTTCATATATTATACAAACCTTGAAAAGAAAAAAGAGTTTTGATCTTTAAACATTGTGGTCTTCACCTCACACGAAAGAAATTTAGGATATAAGAACTGGAGAATTTAAGAAATGGTTAGTCTGAGACAAAACTTTGCAAATACTCCCACATGAATATTTATATACACTTGTATAGTAGAGATCATATATTGTAATAGGTGTATATTAATAATTCGAACATGACTGTATTCACGCCTTCTATAAACTGTAGAGATCAATAACCCAGTTAATACGTGTAATGTGTGACGTCATAACAGTGGGTCATAGTAATGGCGGACCATGATGAATATTCGAAACAATTTGGTGAGTTTTCATATTCGAATTGTAATAAAGACCTCAGACCAGGTGTAATATCGTCTAATACACCCCTTAGGGCCAGGCACAAAAGCTTTCAAACCCCTCACTCCCTTCGGTCATTCGGGGTACAGAAAATGTTTGTGCCTAGGCCTGCGGGGTGTATTCAACAATATTACCCCTGCTCTTTGGTCTATATTTCTTAAATAACATTTGCCCATATCCACAGTCTGCTTGTACTGTCTCTTGAAATACTCTCAAACATAAGATAGACAGGGACTCAGAATGCCATTTATCTCCATGTTGTGGTCTAAACACAAATGTAGTCATGTGATTATATTTCAGATAACACATTTTTGACCAGTGTAGAACTTATCTTTAACCCTTACAAAGTCATTCAATATATTTCTTTTATTGACAATTGTATCAAAACATGACACATTAGTCTAATCAATAATATCATTGTTTTCATTATTAATAATATTACGACCACTATGAGACTAGATGATTAAAATGTATTAGAAAAAATTGACAGTGATGTTATGTTGCAACAGCATTTAAAATTAAGTACACAATCGTTATACTAAATTTTATTATAGATAATGAGGTCTTTCAATAATTACCCTTTGATAAAGTAGTTGACTTTGACCCCTACTCTTTATATGTAAAACTTTTATTGATTGGTCGCACTCCCACTCAGAGAGTAACTGAACAAGCTGCTGAGCGCAGGGTACTTAAAAATACAATTGATGAATGTTGAAAAAATGTGTTTTGGGATTTGTAATTTTGGTTTGTGATTCAACAAACCGGTTCATTTGCATTTCTCTGAAAAATCCAGTGTCAACTTCAGTCCTGTTTTTCATAATTCGAGCAAGTTTTATTCTTTTCTTCAGCCTAAATAAGAAAAAGATCATTGTGAAATTTTGTTTGAGGGCTATTGTTATTAAAAGGCGTGGTGGTTAATGATAATTGCTGACTCCTATATGAAACTCGGGTCATCATTACTTATAACGATTTCAACAAGTGTGTTCTTAACCATCCCATTTATATTAAATATCTCAAAGATAACTTTGTTCATCATTTTTATCCACAGAGGGTTTTCTATTCCAATGCTCATCACATTTTGCAACTAAAAAAATTCTGACCAAAATCCATAGTGTCTAGTGTTATTATTTCGTAAATCTAAACTAGTCGCCGGGTTGGCCTAGTGGTTAAGGCATTGGTCTGAAAAGCAGGAAGTCTGGCTTCAGGCTGAAAAGTAGAGGTCTTGGGTTCAAACCCAGGTCACAGCACTTCTTGTGATTTGTCTTTGACCTACGACTGCTGACCTGTACCAGCAATTACTAGAGTGCTGCTAACTCGATAAAAGGCTGGCGCTGGCTAGAATTGTCTATGGTTCTAGCCAGGAAAAAGATACCAGTTCTTCAACTCGACAATGGGAAGAACTGCTCTACCTTAGTGACTAATATGTCATTATATGACATCTAAAGAGTCAATAAAAGAGATATAATATAGACATACTATGAGGATTATTCAAGTTCAATATTGATTCTTGGTTTGTTTTAACATCTGGGTCAATATGTTTAATATTTATATCAATATTTTGTTAATATTCAGGTTAATGATTTGCTTTTCAGTGATGTAGCTTTATGTTTTTAAATATGTATCATGAAAACATCGTCTTTATGCTAATTCTATGAATTTTTATCTCTACCAACTTCATCAACTACATTGTTATAGGGAAACTATTGGTATTGCCTCCACCTTATTTTCAATCTAACAGACTAACACAGAGGGGGAGGGGGGAGTGGCTTGCACAATTGCCTAATCAGAAATAACATAAATCAAAGCATGTTGCATGTTTGTAGGGAAACAAAAAGATTTGATGAATACCAGGATGAAACGTATGAAAAAATCACTGCTATGGAAACAAAATGATTTAAAGTATAATCGATCACTAGGAAACAAACACCAATATCTCAGACAATGATCTGACATATAAAGAAATGAATCCCTCCCTGCCAGTCAGGGAAATGTTTTCGATCACCATGACATCAAAGTTTTCAAAACAAGAGGAATTGTATTTTCTACCTGAAGACATGTGTCTGAAGATTAACACTTAGCTATAATTAGGAAAGAAAACAGATTTTTACCGTCAGCTAAATGTGAAAAGGCAAAGGTTCTGAGAAGATGTTTTTCTAATAGGCATATCAGAGGAGTTGAGCAAATCTTGCTTTCTAGGTAAAAGCAAGATAATTAGACAATCTATTACTCGTTAAGATGGCAGACCCATTAGTAAATTATCATTTAAGTAAAAACTGTGTAGAATTAGCAGAGATGAAAGTAAATAGCCAATAAAATACATGTCTTGAATTACATAGAAATGTAATTTAGTTTAGGTTCTTCATTTAACTTTAAGAGAGAAATTATGCAAAATAAGCATGATTTCAGAGTAAATGT